AAAAGACAAGAAATAAAATGACAAATAATAAGTCCTTCTTTATCGATAATTATTTTTAAGCAAGTGTATCACATTTCCCCAAACCTCCTAAAAAAAGCCAGATTGATTCAGTGGATTAAAACAAAAACATAAGTTAAAACAATAATTAATATTCAAACACATGCTGTTCACAGAGACTACCTTTAAAGATTCACATGTGCTGAAAGCGAGGAATAGAAAGGTTATTTCTTACAAAGGCAACAAAACGTGGTAGCTAAACTTACTTCAGAAAACCTACAATTTAATGAAAAACCTGTTGTAGGAGACAAAGAGAGTCATTATATAGCAAAGGAAAATGAACTAAATATAAATTTATCATGCATTAAAGGAGCTAAATATATTAAAAATATTGGCAGCAAAAAGAAAAATAGTAATATTATTATAGAAGACATGTTACCACACTTTCAATAGTAAGCAAACTATCTAGACACAATAGTGAAACAGATAGATACAGAACATCGTACCTAAGAGAGACAGACTGTACATTTGATTCAAGCGTATAAAATATTTTACATAATAGACCATATATTGTGTGTCACAAAGAGAATTTCAGTAATTTAAAAAGAGCTGAAATAGTATTGTCTAATTAGAAAGGACTATGGATTACCTCACTCAGGACAATGTTTTTTTCTAGTTCCACCCATTTGTTTTCAAATTTCATGATGGTATTTTTTTAACAGCTGAGTAATAAACCATTGTGTAACTATATCACTTTTTCTTTATCCATTCTTTGGTTGAGGAACATCTAAGTTTTTCCAGTGTCTGGCTAATAGAAATAAAATTGCTATGAATATAACTGAGCAAGTGTCCTTGTGGTAGGATGGAGCACCCTTTGGGTATATACCCAAAGGTATATAGGAATGGTATAGCTGGGTCTTGAGAGCACTTTAAAAGGCATTTACCATTATTAGGTACCAGACAAGTGAGCGCAAGTTTAGGATCTAATAAGATACCATTTTCTATGTACTAGATAATGTAAACTACAGAATATCGATACCATCAAATTCTGGTGAAGATACTGATAGGGAAACAAGATATTTGGGTAATAACAGCCTGGAAAAATCTATTTCAGTATTTCATCTCATGTTCCACCATCGGAGATGTTGCCTGGGTCTGTTGCTACATTTGAGACCTTAAAACTTTTGATCTTCTACTAAGGATATTTTGTTGTGCTGAAATAGTTTCTATGGAAAACGTAAAATAGTTGATTTTTCTTTTTCATTTTAATTTCAGAATATTTAAGTCAGTATTCTATGGATGCAAGAAAAATAGCTTCCACTGAATTTTTGTTTGGGAGATCTCTTTTAAGATCCTGACATGACTTAGAAATTTTTGTATTTAATATGTTTCTATCATTAATAGTTACTATTATCTTTGGAAGCTTTTGTGTACTTTTGGCATGAACACAGTTTTTGAAAGTTTCCTCTTTGTTAGAACAAAATGACAAAGTCTCATCTTACCATTTCCTATTTGAAACATGGAGTTAGTCATTTCCCCTAAGTTTTCCTGGTCCTGGTTGTGGAGGACAGTATTTAGAATTTGGTGTGTAATTTGTAGTTTTTATTCTAGGTCATTTTGAAGGAAAATGGTATTATGGTATTATTCAATGTTATTAATTTTATTATGTCAGTTAAACATGAAAAGCCCAGCAGTACAGAAATACACTCTTTGTTCTTTTGTGTGTCTGAGTGTCATTCAGAAAACAAACAACAAGTCCCATTGAAATAACTGCATTAATTTAATATCACATTATATTTTGGATGAAACTAAATTGTAGCTGACACATGAATATGACTGCAGTGGCATATTGAATGTGGCTCGCTCTACTGTATGCTACGAGATGACTCACTCCACCCATTACTCTAACTACCAAGATATTTTATTATGCACAGCACACCAGGTAGTACCATATAATTTACAAATGAAATCTGACTCTTGTTTTATATCATCCCAGAACAATTAAAACAGTATTAGCTACTGTCAACATGTTTGTAAATAGAAATAGAAATATGAATGTTGACAGTGCACGACAGTATATATTTATAAAGTGTTCTTCTAGGTGACCCAGAATATGCTTACGTTCATTCATTTTGTATTATTCCATGGGAGTTGCCTAGGTTACAGTGAAAGCAAGAAGAGGAATAGAGTTCATACATGAAATTCAATTTAAAGAGAATATAGATGATGACAAACTGTGACTGCAGAATCATTGAAGAAAAAAGAGACAGCAATATTTGGTTTCTAAATGTACTATAGCAATCCACTATTAGTTAGCAGAGGTTCCTGAGGAAGTCAAAGGACAAGCTATAAAAATAGCACGCTATAAATTATAAAATTTATAGAACCTAATTAATATTATTGGTCTTGTAGCTAGTAAGAAACAGAAGAGGCGCCAAAATAACATTTATTATTATTATTATTTAAGACATCACAAAAGCCTGCACTTCATGTTTTTTCTTCCATATGGTAGCCAGTTTCCTCCCTTAAATATTTATCTTTTCTGTTTTGATTTGATTATATTGATTTTTTTTCTCTTTCATTAAATAGGGTTGTATGGAAGAGAACGGAGTCAGAAGAGCATTACAGTGGTCAGTCTCTTGCTGGAAGATTCAAGTGAAGGAAGAACGGAGGTGGCAACTCCATTCCATTCTAACTTTTCTGGCTTGGAAACGTGCTATTTTGGGATTTCATGACAAAAGAGGCACAAAAGTGTTGCTTAGCATAGCGCTGTAGTAATGTAACTAAGAAGAAATGTGAACAAAGGGTGATGTTAGAAATGGTCCAAGTTTGGTGTATTCTACAGATGTTAAGGAGGTAGAATTCTTATGACATTTTGCTTGGCCATATGTTTAAGGAAAGAAAAGCAAGGAAGAATTTTGGGTTTTTCAAAATTATGTACTACACTGCTGCCATTCACTATACTGACTCTCTTTCTACACACACACACACGCACACATACATGCACACTTGTGTACACACAGAAAAAAAACCCAAAACAAAACAAAAACCAAATCCAACCAACCAAACATACAAAAACCCTTCTTTTTCAAGTTTCTTCTAAATACTCAGTTGGAATTGTCACAGGAAAAGAGCAGTAAGCAGCATTTGACCAAGTATTAAATATAGAAATATGTCACCATATACACTCATAAAAACACCTTTCTTCATCTAAGAAAGAAAATAGAAGTGTAAAGAAATGACAATGGGAAAAATTAACAAACCATGGCCCACTAGCCAAATCTGGACAAGTACCATTTTCTTTTACATATATTCTGCAATTGATAGGGGACTTATATTTGAAATCTCCAAAGGAATGATTTCAAAACACATTAAATGGAACACAATTCAAATGTCAAAGTATATAAATTTCTAATAGAAGACAACCATGCCCACTGTGTACAAGTTATGGCTGCTTTTGGGCCACAAGTAGGAGAGTTGAGAAGTTGTGATAGAGGCTTCACACCCCACCCCCTTGGATTGGGTATGTAGTTCAGCAGTAAAGTCCTTTTTTTTTTTAGAGTGTATGAGGTACTGGGTTGATCTCCAGGACCACGGGAAAAGATTTATTACTATTTATTTTAACAACTAAAATATCTAGTATCTAGTACCTTTCAGGGAAAGACTATTGCCTCCTGGTCAAATAGTACTTTAGACATTAAAAAAGATCTCTATAGGTATATAGTTCTAGATACCTGAATAAATGATCTAGAACAATTACATCTGTGTTTTTAAATATTCAGATTATTTTCTCAATAAAGAGTTACCCTTTCCTCCCCCACAAAGGAACATGTCTTCTCCCTCTTTAAACAGTGCTATAGATTCTGAATGAACCTACAATTAAGGCTTCTTTCTCAGAACAGAAGACTTGTTAGAATTACAACCTGGTTTCTATCTCCTTTTCTGTCACATTTCATCACTCTTTCTTGCATACCAGTCGGATTTTTCACCTTTCTGCAGACAGAAGCTAAAAATGTCACATTCAGAAATTATTTAGTGTTCATTTCATTTAGTGTTCTATCCCCTTTCTCCCCCTTTTAATCTTTTTTAAATTTTATTTTACCTTCTTCCTCAAATTATCTCCGTTATGAAAAGGATGGAATGGAGAATGAAATGTCACATTCAGGAATTATTAGGCGTTCGTTTCATTTATTTTTTGTGTTACCTTTTCTTCCATTTTAAAATTGCATTTTTAATTTTTAAAAAATGTTTTACTTTCTTCCTCAAATTATCTTTATTATGACAGGTTGGAGGGGAGGGTGGAGGAAACTTGTAAAACATATATAGGTTTTATTGCTGGAGAGGCATTATCTCCGTGGTCAGCCTAATTTGTCCGGTCCTCCAGGGTAGAATATATACACATCCACACACCACACACTCCCACACACACCACACTCTCACACACTCCCACACCACACCACACACACACACACACACACACACACACACACACACACACACACACACACTTTTTAAAAGGCAAGCCCCCATCTACTGGACATTCAGCTTTTTCCCTCGTTCTCTTTGCCTCCTTTAGGAAACCTAGAAAACAAAATCTTCCCACGGAAACTCCTCAGGGACGTCCCAAGATCCGAGCTTGCGCACTCGGACTCCTCCAGCGGCAGCTTAGTCTTCGTAGCAAGTCCGTGGGGTCTCAGAGCACAAACCCAGAGCGGGCTCCGCGGTCTGCAGGCGGGCGGGCGGGCGGGAGGGTGGCGCGGCGCGCTCCCCCCCCCCTTGGCCCCCTACCCTGCAGCAAGGGTTGCATGACTTAATGCAACCTCAGCATGTAGTGGCGCTATAAAGCAGGACAAGGCGGCACGCCTCCCAGACGCAGAGTAGCTTGTGATTGGCTCGGGCTGCGGAACCTCGGAAACCCGAAAGCTCGGACCTTCCAGGTCCACAGCTGCCGCCCCCCCGCAGCAGTGGCGAGAGCGGCCTCAGTCTGACTGGCGGCGGCGGCGAAGGCGGTGGCAGTGGCGGTCCCGCGGCGGCGGCGGTGACAGGTAAGGAGACTCCTGAGGAGAAACTTGGGAGCGTCGGCTCTGCCACGCTCCGCGTGTCTCCGCGAGGGGAGAGGCTCCCAACCAGCGTCTCGGGGAGGGCGAAGGGAACAATGGAAGTGGCGTCTAGTCCCCGAGCTTTCCCCACAGCCGCCGGAGTCCCTGCTTCCTCCTCCGCCGCCATCGGAGGTCAGAGAAACGTTGGGGGGAGTGAGGGTCTCTTCCCCGGGCAGCCCCCTCCTCTCCTAGACCGGAGCTTCCCGGGGGAGCCAGAGCCATCGTTTTGGCCGTCGGTGGTTTAGGGTGACAGGAAAATGGCGGAAAACAAAACGGTGGAGAGTGCGGCGTCCCCTCGACATTTTTCCTTAGCGACCCCCCTCCATGATCCCCTCGCCCGCGCCCTGTGTCGCCGCGCCAACTCGCCCGCTGGCGGCGATGGCGGTTGCCCGGAGCTTTCGGCACGCCCGAGGGCTAACGGGGCACGGCCAGGGAAGTGGCCCGGGGCCGGGCGTGGGAGGGAGCGGGGATCCGAAGCCATCAGAGCCCGGCTGGGTGGGGGGTGCCTGGTGCTGTCTGCCGCAGCCGTCGCCGCGGCTGCCTCCAATACCACCATTTTGCTTGGCGCTGGGCTCCCACGTAAGGCGGAGAGGCGGGAGCGAGGGGCAACGGGCGGTGGGGTGGGGGCAGCGCCCGCCGGTGACCTCTGCGCCGCGGGAGAGCAGGGAGGGCGACGCGGGGGACTCCTCCTCGGCCGGCTCTCACCTCTCCGCTGCCAAGGCTCTCTTGTTCTCGCTCGCTTGAACATCAGCGGGCTGGGCGACACCGGAGAGGGCACGTGTGTGCCTTCTGCTGGAAATGATTGAAACTTGGCACGGTCGTGGGAAAGGGAGACTTCTGCGGGAAGAGTGCTGCGTCCAAAGCTGCAATATTGCTACTTGCCAGGGCTCCTTTGTCTATCTCTGCAAATACTACTTTCCCATTCTCTCGCTCAGCCGCCTTACCATTTCTCTTCTGCCCCTCGCCCTGTTGACATCACGGAGCAGCTTGCCCCTGAAAGAGCTGTTTAGAAGAGGCAGATGAGAGTAAAATTTGATTTTTTTTGTGTGTGTTTTCTGTTTCTCGTGTATTGATAGAGGGATGTTTACTTGAAGCATAGTTGCTTGGTTGTTCTCTGTTCGATAACCTTGTGTGGTACATACACTCTTGAGAAGACTGAGCAGCTTACCTGCCTATTGGTTATTAACCACCATACTGCTGTTCCTTTACATTGTTTAGTATTGATCTTATTGAAACTTCCTATAGGTGAAAAAGTATTGCACTTTATCTCTGTGCTATTTATTCAGTGTGGCACTTCCCATAATATTTGCCCAGTATGTTGTAATTTTCACACTTTATTGAGTGTTAGAGCAGAATTTTCTGTATGGATTTGGCAAAAATACACCTTGCCCTTAGTTGTTCTTTACTTTCCAAGTGAAGGTGTTTTAAAAATCCGAAGTAAAGAAGATTTTGCCTTAAGCAGTCGAATTCTAAATGTGATATTTTTATACTACAGGGTTTTTTTTTTTGGGGGGGGGGGGGTAATCTGGTAGTGTCCTGGCTGCTTTTTAGATAAACACAGATTTGAACAGGTGAGCTTTCACAACCTCACCTTACAAGTTTGAAGAGTAGAGAAAAACATTCTTAAGTTGTGTAAAAGCGATTTGCTTAAAAATGTCTTGACGCATCTAATTTGTATTTTCATAATAGGTAAAGAACATTTCCCCAGAGAAAATGCGTTGTTTTGAAGGACCAAAATAAAAAGAAATTTTGCAAAATTCACTTTTCAGTCTGTAAGGAAATCTACAGTTTCTTCAACTCACTTGTGCAAAGGTGATTAGCAAATTACCTATTCTTTTTTTTACTAATTACAAAAATTTAAAACCATAGAATAACATTTGTAACTATTGTTTTAGTTATATGATAAAGAAATCAAATGATAAAATTGAAGTCTGCATAGTACTTTAAAGTGTCAAAAATAAATCCTTACAGCATTTTTACTTAAATGTATGGTTATACAGGTAATTTATGGTGTACTCATTTGCCCTTTTGTCCTTATCTTGGATGACAGCAAGACAAAAACATAGTAATTGGAAAGAAAGGCAAAATAGACCTAAAACGTCCTCTCAAATATCTACTTTTGTCCCTACATAATTGACCTCATTATTTTGATACATAGAAAAAATTAGCCACTGATAAAGATTATTTTTGTGTAGAAAGTATACAACTCAGACATTTAATACGGCGTTTGTTCTCATGATTCTTCTGCCTGTTGGGTAGCTAGAGAACATCACAGCAAGGGAAAATGCTTAGCCATACCCCAGTACTTACTTTGGGTGTCCTCGTTCTAAAATTTTCATTAAGGACATAGCCCTAGTGTAATATGTCTCATTTTAACAAACACTTCTGAGTGAAAATAACAAGTACCTTTTAAAATTCACACAATTTTGGTTGTTTGGTTAGAATCTCTTATTGCTGACGCAATGCATATATGCAATTTTAAGTATTATATTGAGTGGCAACATCTGGCTTTCTGTTCCAATATGTCTGATTGTCTTAATATAGAGAATGAAACAGGTTGAGCTATTGCTTTAAAAACTTCCATAGAATAGCAAGATTTTATTAATCATTACTGGAAAATATCAGTTGTACAATTGCAAGCAAATGAAAGAAGCAATGCTAAATGTTTGTATGTGATTGATTTTATCTTTACCATATTTAGGAAGCAGTCATGTTTCATGATTCCTCAAAACTGTGAGACAAGAGACTGTAGTAGAGTGAGGCCAGAAGTCCTTACTGGTTCAAAGAACTCCGGGGAAACTTGTGATAGAACATTTTGCATTATAAGTAGAGCCCCGGAGCCAGAGGTGAATACAATATCTGCAGAGCTCCGCTGCAGGGCTGATCTGGGTGTGGAAGAAATGGATGAGAGCTACTGGATGAAACTCACTAAATCTAGACATCTGAGTCCTCTAGTAATGTATAAACAAACATACCAACTAGTAATCTGTCCTCATCTTATTCTTTTTCTTTATTACGTATATTTTAACTGGACCTCAGTCTTGCAGTTTTGTTCTTTTCCTTGTTTTTTTTTTATCACATTCCTATGGATCATCACCATCACTGTGCCTCATTTTCCATTAGCTTGGCTTTACTTCCACTTACCTCTTTTGTGTCTAGTTCTCACATAAAGCAACTAAGCAATTTGGGGTTTTTCTTTTCTTTTATAATGAGCCTTGCAAACCTGGTTGTAAGGCATATTTTCTATTTTTCTCAAAACAACTGATTTGGAGGTAAATGTATTTAAACTGTTTTTCAAACCATTTATTTTACAGATATTTGTGAATGAACTTTGCTAAATATGGATTCAGGTGGTGGAAGTCTTGGATTGCACACTTCAGATGCTAGGATGGCCCATACCATGATTATGCAGGATTTTGGTAAAGCATTTTCTTTGTTGTATCTTATGATTATAAAGTAAGAATGTATTAAAATTAACAAGGAAATAGAACTACACTGAAATATTCATTCACTAGGAAAATTGTACAGCAAATTTTCATAAAGGCATATATGAATAGTATATTTAAGATCATATAATATGTAAGAAGTTTGAGATAAAGGAACTTGGTATATAAAGATAGTATTTTATGAGAAATGAAAAACTCTATACATAAGTGCTTATTTGTATCATGTGATAGTATATAATAATTTTCAGATGTAGAAAATGTTAAATCAGCTGTCTAAAATGTGCTTTAAGTTGCATTGTTCATGAAGCTAGAGAGTAATGTGCTTCTATCAAACAAAGGATTAAGATGATTATAAAGAGATAAAGGTAAATCATAGATTTGGTAATTATGTTCAGATATCACTTCCTCAAAGTTACACCAACAAAATAACACCTCTTTTTAAAAAGATTCACAAACGTGTCTGTGTGTGTGCACATATGTGCCACATGTGTGTAGGTGTCCACAACAGACTCCTAAACCAGGCATTGGCTCTCCTGGTGCCAGAGTTAAGGGTGGCTGTAGGCTGTCTGACATATGGGTACTTGGAACTGAAAGCAGGACCTCTAAGAGGGCAGAAAATACTCTTAATTAACCACTGAGCAATTTTTACAGCCCACCACCTTTTCCCTTTTTTGCTCTAATAAAAGATTCCTTACTTCTATGCCCAGTTTTTTCAGTGGCCTTAAAACAGTAATAATTTTGATGAATATGTTAAGACTACATTGATAGTCTAGAAAGAAACTAAATTTTGGGAAGATTGGTGTGAATTTTAAAGGAGGTAATGGTGTCCAAATTAAAAGATACAAGGATCGGATCTTAACAATTGAAGATGAGGTAGGATTTAAAGTAGAAAACAGAAATGATAAACAGTTGTTAAAAAAAACACAGAACCTATAGGGTCATGTGGAATTAATGAAGTTGAAATCAGCGATGGGCAAATAGAACTAGTGATACTTTGCTTGCCTAAGAAAATGCTGCTACTATTCTCAGTGTGATTTAATATGCCATTTGCTGCCCTATTTTAAAGATCTCAGTTTTAAGGATTAGAGGAACTGTATTCTAGTCTTGATAGTGATGTTATCTAGGTTATGAACTTGACTGAATTACTGATCCACTTTTATAATGAGGACGTTGAGGTTCTCTTGAGTTCTGTGATTCTTTGACATTTGTCAGATAAATACATCTGGGTACCTCAAGGTTGAATTTAGTAAGGATTGAGATGATTGTTAAGGTGACATATAAAGAAGCCATTGATTTATTCTTCTAAAAGATGAGTGGGCTTTCTTGTTTATGAATGATTTAGAAATGATTTGGGATGGGTAAAAAAGTAGAAGAATTGTAATAGTTAATCTTGGTTGGTGACTTGATTGGTGTGAGAGGATTTTAAATAGTTACTAAAGCCGATGATTGGGTATTTTTTACACTTACCTTATAAGTAGGCATCACCATCTAACAGACTAGGGACCTAGATGCAGTAAAATAGGAGAATGCCTGCTATCACAGGCATAGTCTCCTTCTGTTTCCTTTTCTCCAGGAGGTTAGCTCTACTACATGCTCCCTGCTGTGATGTTCAGCCTCTCTCACTTCAGTCCCTTAATAATGGAAACAGGTGGAAATTTCTGAAACTGTGAGCCAAAACGAATCTTTAAAATTCTCCTCTCATGTTTAAATCACAGTAATGATAAAAAAGTGACATAGAAAGAACTATAGATGAAAGGAAACAAGGTTAAATATACAGATTTATTTTTTAGTCCTTAAAATACTTGTCTGGAGAGTTTATAAACTTTAAAATGCTAAAACCACTTATGTTTCAATTTTGGTTATAGACCAGAGGGATATTTGAATTTCAATATACTAAACAAATTTTCATTTTCAATGTCAACTTTGTAACTTCCTCAGTAGCTTGAGTTTTTCTTGTATGTAATACTTTATTTATTTTTAGTTGCTTGGGAAATAGAAGCTACAACTTTTTTCTTTTTCATTAAAAATAATTCATATGTCATACCATTAACCCCTTTTAAATTTTATATTTAAAGTAGTTATTTTTATTTGTAGTTATATGTATTGTATATGCATGTATGCCACATGCATGTTGGTTCTGAAAGTCAGAAGATGATGTCAGATCCTTTGGAGTTGTGTTACAGGCAGTTATAGGCCACCTGATGAGGGCTGGGACTGAACTCGGGCCTTAAGGAAGAGCAGCAGGCGTTCTTAACTGCTTAACCATCTCTTCATCCACCATTTTAAAGCTTATAATTCTGCATTTTAGTACACTTTGAGAATTCTGCAGTGATTACCAGCCATTTTTTTTTCGAGACAGGGTTTCTCTGTGGCTTTGGAGTCTGTCCTGGAACTAGCTCTTGTAGACCAGGCTGGCCTCAAACTCACAGAGATCTGCCTGCCTCTGCCTCCTGAGTGCTGGGATTAAAAGCATGCTCCACCACCGCCCAGCCCGGCCAATTTTCAGATATATATATTATACTAAAAATTATAATCTCAAAATTTTAAAAATATAAAAATGAAACAAAATTTCACATACTTGTTAGCAGTTACTGCCTATTCCTTCTTTCTCCACCAGTTCTTTTTTTTTTTTTTTTTGGTTTTTTCGAGACAGGGTTTCTCTGTGGTTTTGGAGCCTGTCCTGGAACTAGCTCTTGTAGACCAGGCTGGTCTCGAGCTCACAGAGATCCGCCTGCCTCTGCCTCCCGAGTGCTGGGATTAAAGGAGTGCGCCACCACTGCCCGGCTTCTCCACCAGTTCTTAACAACTAGTAATTCAATTTATGGATTTACCTATTCTGAAGAGTTCCTATAAATACAATCATGTAATGTATGGCCTTTAATGCTTGGCTTCTTTTACTTTAACACATTTTCATGTGCCATTTATGTTATAACACATAACTCTTTTATTACCAAATGCTGTATTATCACATAGCTGGAAGAAATGTTTTCATTTGATACATTCCTTGTTTAAGGAAGGAGTGAGAAGATGGGAAGGTTTGCAAACTACTTCCAATTTTAGTTGGCATTGTCATAGTTATATAAGTATTCTCTAAAGTGAACTAATGAAGTAAATGTTTCTATGTCAGAAAAAAATTAGAGAGCTACTGTATTTTGTTATATACCTATTCATGATTCAACTGCTTAGTTGTGTTTTTAAATGATAAGTTATCTTAAATTCCATTTTCATGATCTTTTAAATTGAAATGGGTAGTTCAATCCCTACTGAATTTTTATATTGTGATAATACTGTTATTCTTAATTATAGTGAAATCAAGAGTTGCTAATATGAGTAGTGTCTACTCATTTATTGATTTATGGTTTGTGATTGTGCTGTTCTAGAATATGTTAGGTTTCCATTTGTAAATAGATTTTGAATTTTTTGAAGTTATACAGCTATGTGTCACAAGGTCTCCAAATTCTGTAAGGTTCTCATTTGAGACTATGAGATGAATATTGTATAGAAAATTGAAAGAATTAATTTACAAGTTACTAAATCAATTTCTTTTGAAGGATTGTTAAGATTTAAAAGTTTATAATATTATGTCATATAATAGTTTTGCTGATGTTTGAGAACAGAGATTCACCTTACAGTCAGTGGCATTGAGTTTAATAGTTTTTTAAGATTTTAGTGTTGGAAAGGTAAGTGTTGCTTTGAAACTTATAAAGCAAAATGGCCTTATATACTAGCCAAAGACAGGCTGTTAAGAATTTTTCTTTGCTGTCACTCCAATGTGGTGCTAGATAACATTTGAAGAAATCCTCACAAAATAGAAAGTACTTTGTCAGAATTTACCGTTTGTTGTTGTATGTTTATCTCATTGATTCATCTGAAAGAATCCTATGTAATTTTTTAACTAGTAAGATAAGTTCTTCATGCCATTAGGTACTACTAAATAAATGTTAAAATAACATTTAAATGAGTTTCTATGTGCTAGCTCTTTTAATTCTTCTCAAAATAGTCCTATTTGCTTAATTTTATAAATCTCTCTTTTAAAACTTATCTAGGATAAGAAACAAAACTTTTCCTCTTAGGAGAGTAGAAGAAGAAGAAAATAATACTACAACCCTGAGTCAAAGGATGAATACAGCTAACCTCTCTAAAATATAATTTGGGGTGGCTAGCGAGATGGTTTACCAGGTGAAGTACTTATCATGAAAGCTCAACAACAACCTGATAATTACAGGTTAATGGAGAGAAGCAACTCCACAAAGTTGTCCTTTGGGGTTCTACCCGTATTTTATATGCACAGCAGTAATAAATACATTTTTAAAGACAAATATATTTTCTTCATAAAAATGGAGAAAACACTCACACTTAATTTGAGGATTAAATGAGATTTTTATATATGCGTGTATATGCTCTCTCTCTCACACATATATAGTATAAGGTTGCTTAATGCATTGTTAGCGAATAATAAATATTACCTATGTGTATCTGAATAAATGACATTTTTAAGGAAGTACAGCTCATTTATAGCTGAGTAAATAAATTTGGTTTTGGAATTTAATGAAATGTAACAGATGAACTGATAAGAAAGCAAAATTATGGATCTTTTTAGTCTGAGTAATTTGACGTTATTTTGCAGTACTCATTAGTTCTTGGTCTAGATTCTTTAAGGTCTTTGGTTCAGTTTAAAGAAGTATAATCAGGGTAAACAAGTATATTTAGCTTCATTTTGGTTTAGGTTTGATGGATTTTTACCTATTCTAGGCTAGGTGAACTTTGAATCATTTATTTTCTTAGAATCAGCTTAGCCAGTTTAATCTGAGCTTTTGAGCATAGGCTAGCACTAGCATTATTCTAGCCTTCCATCTTTTCCCCCTGTCTAATCATAAATCAAACTAATCTCCAAGAATACTTTGAAATAATTAGGATTTCCTGAATATTAAATTATTGATCTGTAAAAACAATTTTATGAAATAGTAATCTTAACATTTACATATATAGCATCCCATTATTAGGAATTTAATAGACTTAATATTTAATTTTCTTTGCTAAAGCTATCATTTCTAGTCTGGATAAATGTGAGACTTGAAACTCTACTCTGTCCTCATCTCTTAATTTTCTGGAGTAAAAAACGAGAAAAAATACTTTTTAAATTCATATTCTATTTGTCTACCAGTTTTGTAGGGTTGTGGTTATGTTCTTTTTTCTTTTATTTTTGAGATAATATATAATTTTTTCCTTCTCTTTCCTCTCTCCTGACCCGTCTCCTAGATCCCTGCTTACTTTATTTCAAATTCATGGCGTCTTTTCTCATTGATGTATATTGATAAATATTTTTCATACATGTATGTTTCTAAGTATAACCTACTTAGTCTATAAAATACTACTTGTATATATGTTTTCAGGCTTGACTATTTGGTATTGGATAAGCAGTGGGTGTGCTCTTTCTTGAGGAAGACTGTTTCTCCCACTTTGAACATTTTTTAGTTTAAGGTAGCTCCTTGTGTAGGTTTGAAGCCTGGTGTCTATTTTGGCATGTCTGTTGTTATGTTCTTTTGATGTAATTTAGGATTTAGGTGAAAACAGAAGAATGTTGAGAAGAATTTAGAATAGTTGAAAGGAAGGATGGGTGTGTTGGCATGTGCCTGTAATTCCGGAACTCCTGAGGCAGAGTCAGGTCAACTATGAGTTCCAGGTCACCCTTGACTACATAACCAGTTTGAGGCCAACTTAAACTGCATGAGGCTCTGTCTCAAAAATCAGTAAAATAATAGTAATTATTCCCAAGACCTCTGAAAATCAGTTTTCTTTTCATTCTTAGCTTTTATCATTAATGGTAGAAACTGGTTTCCAGCTTTAATTAACATCCTGATGAATTGATTATAAGTAGTGAGCATTGTAGTGCCTACTTTACATTTTTTCCAGATAGTATTTTATAAGAAAGTAATCATTACGTAGATGTATTGGTGTATATGTGTATGTCCTAGTGTTTATGTACAGGCTATGTACTGGTGCATTTCATATAGATAATGCATTATAAGTAGACCCACAAACTCTTTTTTTTTATTGCGAAAAGAAGAAAAAAAAACATAAACAAAAAACAAGTTTCCACCTCCTCCCAGCCTCCCATTTCCCTTCCCCTCCTCCCACCCTTCTCCCCCTCCTCCCACCCTTCTCCCCCTCCCCCCACTCCTCTCCCCCTCCCTCTCCAGTCCACAGAGCAGTTCAGGTTCCCTGCCCTGTGTTAAGTCCTAGGTCCTCTCCGTCCATATCTAGGAAGGTGAACATCCAAACTGGCTAGGCTCCCACAAAGCCAGCACATTAAGTAGGATCAAAACCCCCTGCCATTGCTGGCGAACAATGAGGGCTGATGAGACAAACTCTTTTTTTTTTTTATTGCGAAAAGAAGAAAAAAAAACATAAACAAAAAACAAGTTTCCACCTCCTCCCAGCCTCCCATTTCCCTTCCCCTCCTCCCACCCTTCTCCCCCTCCTCCCACCCTTCTCCCCCTCCTCCCACTCCTCTCCCCCTCCCTCTCCAGTCCACAGAGCAGTCCGGGTTCCCTGCCCTGTGTTAAGTCCTAGGTCCTCTCCGTCCATATCTAGGAAGGTGAACATCCAAACTGGCTAGGCTCCCACAAAGCCAGCACATTAAGTAGGATCAAAACCCCCTGCCATTGTCCTTGGTGTCTCATCAGCCCTCATTGTTCGCCATGTTCAGAGAGTCCGGTTTTATCCCATGCTTTTTCGGTCACAGTCCAGCTGGCCTTGGTGAGCTCCCCGTAGATCAGCTCCTCTGTCTCAGTGGGTGGATGCACGCCTCGTGGTCCCGAATTCTTTGCTCATGTTCTCCCTCCTTCTGCTCCTCCTTGGGACGTTGGGAGCTCAGTCCAGTGCTCCTGTGTGGGTCACTGTCTCGATCTCTATCCATCACCAGATGAAGATTCTATGATGATATGCAAGATATTCGTCAGTATTGCTCTAGGATAGGGTCATTTCAGGTTCCCAATCCTCAGCTGCCCAAGGAACTAACTGGGAACCTCATCTTGGGCACTAGGGAGCCCCTCTAGGGTCAAGTCGCTTGCCCACCCTAAAGTGGCTCCCTTAACTAAGAATTGTGGTTCCGTGCTCCCCTATCCACCTTTCCTTTATCCCAATTCTCCCGTTTCCCAGGTCCCCCCTCCTTCCCTTCTACCTTTTCTCTCCCCATCTCCCCTTACCCCCATCCCACCCCCCCCCCCAAGATCCCATTTTCTCCCCGGAAATTTGGTCTACTTCCCTTAGCGAAGAGGACAACTATATGTTTTTCCTTCGGTTCACCTTCTTCCTTAGCTTCTTTAGGTTCACCTATTGTAGACTCCGTGGTCCTTATTTATGGCTAGAAACCAATTATGAGTGAGTACATCCCATATTCATCTTTTTGGGTCTGGGACACCTCACTCAGGATAGTGTTTTCTATTTCCATCCATTTGCATGCAAAATTCGAGAAGTCATTGTTTTTTACCGCAGCGTAGTACTCTAGCGTGTATATATTCCATACTTTCTTCATCCATTCTTCCATTGAAGGGCATCTAGGTTGTTTCCAGGTTCTGGCTATTACAAATAATACTGCTATGAACATAGGGCGCTGGGACCGAATCTGAACCGGGAGACAAACTCTTAATTTATTGTACCACCTCAGGGTAGCAGAACTTAAAATTCCCCGTGAAGAGAATCTATTCTCTTACAGTATTTACAATGGAAGTGGGAGCTGGTGCCTACCATGCTACTCAAGAGAAAAATTAAAATCTTCTCCCAGTTGCAAACTTATTAATATTATCGAGCTAAATCTTAGTCTGATATGAGTTAAGATTCGTTTCTCTAAAATCAGGTATTAAAAGATTCTAAGGTTTTGGATATAGCAATTTCTTTAAGTTAAAGAATTTCTTGGGAATTTTATGGCTATATGTTTTGTGGTATGATGTTATATTAACTTATAACAGTATCTCTTTTTCTCATTTTGCTTTCATTTTTCACAAATATATAGTCATTGAAAGTAGGAAAAAATAGTATAGTTAAGGTCTTATATACTTTTTATTCATTTTCCTCAATGCTGGTATCCTATTTAACAATAGTACAATATCAAACCCAGAAAATTAAAGTTTTAGGTAATTTTTGTTATCTAAAACCATATACCTTGTTCTTCTTCTATCGTTTGGACATACATTGGCTTGTGGATTTTAAATTTTTTATTTGTACTTTTTTACAATTTCACATATGTATCCCTTGCATTCTGATTACTCTTGCCTCCTCCTACTTTGTACCAGCTCTGTTCACTCTTCTCCCCAATAATTATTTTTTTATGTCCATCTCTCTCTTTCACTCTGTGACTCACATAGATTATCCTGGGCCATTGTGCATTGGGGTGTAGAGCTATTGTTGGAACCTGGTGGACTCAGCAGAGGTTATACAAGTAAAGACAGTGAATTCCCTTTCTCCCATATAGCTAGCAGTTCACAAGTAAAGGATTGAGCCCTGTGAGTTCTTTTGCATTCTTTGACTGATTGTTGATAGGACTTGTCTTGTGGGGGTAAGTGCAAGTAACTACAGTTATGTGAGTAAGGATTACAGTGGTCTAGGGAATGCCATTTCTAACTCTTCACCTTATCTTTAGGTATTACATACATCTTTAACTCTCCCACCACCTCTTTAATTTTTTCTTAGCCTCTGAAGGGGTGATTTAAGTGAATTGTTTAAGGATGGACCCACATCTGTCATTTATTTTCTTCATTTTGTGTAGTAGATCCATGTCAAGATAAATTTCCGTAGATTTATTCTGGTTGTTGGTTCTATCAGTACCCTTATTCCTCTTTATGACTAAATGTTACTCTGTGATAAGGATGTGCCAGCGTTGATTTAGCTAAACATTTATCTGCTGATGGACTGATATTTGGAAAGTGTTTATTTTTTACTATTATGAATAAAGCCACTATAAACTGTTTTGAACATTTAAGTATAGTTTCTGTGTAAACATGTTTTACATTTTCTGTGGAGAAATTTCCTAGAGTGCAATTGTTGCTTTGTTTAGAAAATGAATGTTTAGTTTTGTCAGAAACTGCCAAACTGTTTTTCGCTGAATGACTTAATATTTTACATTCACCCAAACATATAAAAGATACATTTTTCTCTATCTTCAGCAGCTGTGTTTTTTTATTTTAGTTATTTTAATTACAGTGTGGTGATATCTTATTATGTCTTTTTTGCTTTTAAATGACAATAAATTACTTTTAAGAACTTACATTTTTTTTTGTTTTTTTTACACTGATCTCTAACCCAATTCCTAATTAGTGATTTTTTTTATTACAGTTAAATTATCAACAATGCTTTTTAAGTTTTATTTATATATATATTATATTCCTCCAGATATCTAGTACATACTTAAACTATTTTATAGAAGTAGATATTTATTGAATATAATATTTTATTAATAAAATAACTTTACCCTTTTTTGAATAATTGTTTGTATTGTAGTGGCTGGAATGGCTGGTACTGCACATATCGATGGAGACCATATTGTTGTTTCAGTTCCTGAAGCTGTATTAGTTTCTGATGTTGTCACCGATGATGGGATAACTCTTGATCATGGCCTTGCAGCCGAAGTTGTCCATGGGCCTGATATTATTACAGAGACTGATGTAGTAACAGAAGGTGTGATTGTCCCTGAAGCTGTACTTGAAGCTGATGTTGCCATTGAAGAAGATTTAGAAGAAGATGATGGAGATCATATCTTGACTTCTGAACTAATTACAGAAACCGTTAGGGTACCAGAGCAGGTTTTTGTAGCTGATCTTGTTACTGGTCCAGATGGACATTTGGAACATGTGGTTCAAGATTGTGTTTCAGGTGTTGACTCTCCCACAATGGTATCAGAAGAAGTTCTTGTAACTAATTCAGATACAGAAACTGTGATTCAAGCAGCTGGTGGTGTTCCTGGTTCTACTGTTACAATAAAAACTGAAGATGATGACGACGATGATGATGTCAAGAGCACTTCTGAAGACTACTTAATGATATCATGTAAGTGAAACATAAAGTCAATTACTTGGGAGATTAATTTCTATAATTTAGAAAGGTATTCTGGGACAAAGGATATATTTCATAAAAGCAATAGAAGGGATCTTTTTTTGAAAATAATTTCAAAGCTGTGGTGTTGAACTTTCAAAGATGTGCCTTTTGAGCTTACATATATTTTTAATGTACTCTGAAATTGCAAGCCAAAGTAAAATGAAAAGGCCAATTATGTCTTAGAATAGAAATATGTATTTAAAAGGCTTGATAGAAATATTAGTTGATATGAAATTTCAATGATAAATATATATATATATATATATATTTCAAAATGAGCAGTAAATTATATTATTACTGCTTCTTAAAAACATAGCGTGCAGGCATTGTTAATAAACTTCTACTTAAGAACATAAGCATAATATGTTTAGATAGGTTATGTAAATTTATAAATTTTTCAATCAAAACATAAACTTTGTGTCCTGCCATTCTTTCTAGATTATGTTTTATTTTGATTGAATGATTATATGTATTCATATGTGGTCTATGGAAAACTAATGCATTAGTTTCAGACTACTTATAGCACTCTGTGTGAACGAAGATAGAACTATTTTATTTTCACTTTGGGTGACAGATTTGCGAGACCAACCATCAAATATATCCCATGATATGTTTTTGATGGTGTTTATAAAATGGTCGCATATTTGCCTTGAATGCAAAAACTCCTATGTTCAATCCCCAGCACACACACATGAATGCACATGCATGCACACAGGCCTGTGTAAAAAGAGTGGGTATATTTTTTATAAATTTTGAAGGGATCATGCTTCAAATAGCAAAAAGTAGATAAAGGTTTTTAACTTTTTCAGTCGTATTTTTTCCTTTTAAAAATAAAAATGAAACACAGGGAAGGGAATCACTATGCAGAAAGTCTATGTATGTGTGCCTGTGTGTTCATACAATGATTCTGTGTTATAAATATGATAGTTATTTTAAAACTAAAACCACAAACTAGATTTATTTAATTTTTAAACATAATTATAAAGTCTATTATGTTAACCTTTCTTTTGCAAGCACTTGTTTTTTTGAGACAGAGTCTTACATAGTGCAAGCTGGCCTCAAAGTTGTTAGGTACCCAAGAAGAACCTTGAACTTATGGTCCTTTGAACTCGTTTCTATGTCTGGACCACTAGGATTGTACGCATGTGCCATTATGCCCAGCCTGGAAATAATTTGCCAGTGAATATTTACATTTTCTTTAAGAGAATTAGGTTCACTACTAAAAGATTTGGGGAATGTTATTACCTATTCTTACATGTATGTGTCTTGCTGGGACAGCCCCAGATTTACATACTAACTTGACACTAAAAGCTATGACTATCAGATAAGATGTTATAGCAAAATTTATTAGTGTCTCTATATTAAAATAACTGCAATATACATTCAAAAGTTATTCATTAAATTAAACTAGTATGAAAGTGCTAGAAAGTTTAGACATCATGTTTTTATAGGTAATCATAACTTAATATTTGTTTTTGCTTCTTTTATTTAAGGTTAGTATTTTCATTTTACATACCAACCACAGTACCTCCTCTCGCCCCTCCACCTGCTCCTCTTCTACCCCCCCCATCCACTCCTTATATAGGGCAATGTCTCCCATAGAGAGTCAACAACAAAGTCTGGCATATCAAGTTTAGGCAGGACCGAGCCCCTCCCCCTGTATCTAGGCTAAGGAAGGTATTCCTCCATAGGGAACAGGCTCCAAAAAATCAGTTCATGCACTAGGGATAAATGCTGGTCTCATTACCAGGGTCTCCCCAAACTGCCAAAGCCACACAACTGTTTATCATAATTAGAGGGCGTTTTGGTGGCCCATGCCGGTAGGATTTGCTAAATGAGGTGAAGTCAGGAGCATCACAACTTTAAGGCCAGCCTGGACTACACATTATCATTTGTTTTTAAATTTTTTAAAGAAAAAGACAATTCTAAGTTTGGTACCATGGTGTGTGCCTGTAATCAGGATGTAGAGAGACAGGAGGATCGTCAGAAAGAGTCATTAATTTTTTAGACGATTTAAGTTAGAAAATTTATCTTTTTATTTTAAATAATAAAATATAAGATAAAACAAAAACTAACACATCAGAGTTGAACAAGACAAACAAACTTAAGGAAAAAGCCCAAGAGAATGTACAAGAATCAGAAATTCATTTATTTGCGTACCCAGGAATCCAATAATGACAAATGAAGAGATTTCTTCCCTTTTAGGCTGATAGAATTTAACAGAAAATTAAAGAGAAGATTCTATTATTAGCATGTTATTGAAACAACAGTGATTTAGTTTTAGAGTGACCTTAAGCTAGAGATGGATTACTTCTTAATTATTTGTGAGAGAAAAGCAGAAACAGTTTAAAAACTTCCTTTAGAACTTAATCATGTACAGTGAATAATCCAATCTCACAAAGCCAAGCATTGTGTGGGGTTTTTTTCTCCTATATGGAATCTACAGGGGTGAGTGGGCTAGAGGAAATGAAAATAAAGTATTAGGGATCTGGAACCAGAAGGGAAAAGTGAGAAGAGAGCAGGAAACATAACAAAGTGATAGAGGGTGTAAATATGATCAAGGTACATTATATACATACATGGAAATGTCATAACGAAATAGATCTTTGTACAAGTAGTATATGCTAATAAAATAATACTATATATATATATATATATATGTATACACAAAATCAAATACTTTCTTATATTATCCATGAACTCTAATTTTCCTACCCATTCTCCCAAGTTCAGGGACTCTAAGTATGTTTTGCCAAATCCAATTTAGAATTTTTTTCATTAAAATTTTTACAGACAAACCTAGAAAATATTTTTGTAAGCTGTGACTGACTACTCAGAACGTTCCCACTATTTTTTTTTTACTTTTTTTAGTAGTTATATTCATATTTGAACTGTTTACTCTTAAAATTTTATTTTTATTCTCCTCATCTTTTTATCTTAATTACCTTTTGATGTCTGGTGGCTATTCAGTCAAGAATTATAGCACAAATTGCCTTTAAAAGCTCCATTTTAAATTAAGAGGTCCTTTACTTTATTGCCCCCAAATATAGACTTTCCAAAATAGTTAAGGGCTGCAGTTGAAGACTTCAAACAGACTCTATCTTCCCTAAATATTCCTATAAGGAAATCTTATCAAGTAGCAGGACTTTAGAGTTAGAGATTTTTTTTTCTGTCATTTTGAGGTGCATCTGAATTTAATCCATGTTCAAAACAAACCTCACAAGTTCTTTATCCTACCAGATGAATAACATTGTCCACTCGTGCTAAGTAACTTTGAAATTAATATACAGTAACTATGTTGGTCTAATGTTCCACATGAACTCTTTTTAAAAACTCTAATATATTTAAGAAATGTATGGGTGATTATTTCCTTTGTGAAAAGCTTCACTAGAATGAGGAATCTCCTTTATAAATGACCCATTGTAGTGTAACTAACACTTTTTATGTATGAAATTGAATTTATGTAGGAAAATGCATTTAAACATCACCAATTTTAAGAGTAGAAGAAAAATGTTTACAGCTTTCAACATTAAAAATATAACTAGATTAGCAAGATATAATTTATAGTACAAAATTCAGATAATATTTAAATTAATTTTTGTTCATATATTAACAGTAGAATCACCATCATGTCAATCAATTTTAAAAGTTTTAATTATACCAAAATTCAACCTCATAAGCTCTTAAAGGTACTCCCCACTCTATTTACTTCCAGGAGGCAGTAAATTTGGTTCATAAATTTTGCTTATTTTATTTACATATTTGTTATGAATGGAATTGGGTAATATGGGACCTTTCCTTTCTGTCTTAGTGTTTCTCAAAGGCCATCAATATGATAGCATTTACCATTGTGACATTCATTTTTTATTACCAAGTGATATTTCATTATAGATATATACTAATTTTGCTTTCCCATCCATCATTGATGGACACTCTCGTGGTTTCTACTTTTTAACTATTATGAGTAAGGATGATAGGAAAAATGTGTACAAGTTTTGTTGGGGTAAATGCTTTCATTTCTTTTGGATATATACTTGAGCATGGCATACTATTGAAATTTAAATGTGATTTCTTTCTTTTCCTTTTTTCTACATTATAAAAGAGAGCCTTTGCTCATTGTTTAATCACAATGTTATATTAGTATATTGTATAGTTATATAATAGCCACACCATTATTTTTTGATGTACTACAACAGTGGCAAACTCAAAAGCCTTTGTGGTTTTAAAAAGAAGGCCATCAATTTGGGGATTAGTGAGGTGGGCATGGGAGACATGAGAGAGATGAGGGAAATGATGTAATTATATTTTAATCCATTTTTTAGAATGAGTATTACACTGTATATTGCAATAAAATGGAATTTTAATCAGATTGTGGCAGTGATCTACAAAAGAATATTGAATACTTCCAACCTTTTTAGTGCTGGTAAACAATGTACCTTACTTATGTTCTTGTCTTTAATGCTAATAGAATTTTGTGGATGTGTTATATTTCTCACCTAGAAGGTGGGTCCTGAAACTATGGTGTATGCCTTAAAATAAGCAAAAAAAAAAATTAAGCTTGAATCTTTTAAGTATTTAATTTTTATCTATATTAAGAACGGCCACTTAAAGGCAATTAGTAATCCATTCCTATAATTTCAGTACTGGAGAGCCAAGGCAGGAAGCTTGCAAGCTGCAGTGGCCTGCGGCTCTATGTCCTAAAATTAATTAGTAAGAAAATATGTAAAAATTTATTTCTTAAGTCATTTTGTTTCCTAGTAAAACTTTGTTAATGTTGTATTTTCTGTACCTAAGAATATAGAATAAATATTGGTTAAGCTGATAGCTAAACTCTTCAAAGTTCACACCAGCTTTAAAAATAACTATCATTTATGAGTTAAAAATACAGAACAAATTCAGTTGCTTCATACATTTCAAAATTGTTCATTCTGAAATGCTTAATCTAATCAAAAAACAATGGGTACATTAAATATTAAAAGTATGAAGCTTCTTTTTTAAGTAGAAGTAAAATCAGAAAGAACACCAACAGAAAAATTGATTAGGACATATCAACTATAATTTCAATATTTACAGGTAAAATTAAGATATATAGTTTAGAACTAGCCAAAAATATTTCATTACAAAAATCTTTTATTTCAATTATTTTAAATTACTGTGTTCTAGAAGGAAATATGGTCACTTAATTTATGTGTAATAATGACATATTTATAAATGAGTGTATTTTATTGTTTTTTTCAATTTTCAAATATTCCAACCTCCCAAATTTGTATTTTGGGTCTTTAAAAATGTGTTCTATGAATCCTGTTTTCAAATCATGAATGAGCAAGTGCTTGTTCCTTAAAAATTAACTTTTTTAAAAATATTTTTATGATCTCATCATTTTATTTGTTATTAGTAAGAAAAACTTTCAAGCAGTATATATATATATATATATATATATGTATATATATATATATATATATTCATCCTAATTTATGAAATTGTCACCCCAAAATTGCTAAAAATACAGTAATGTGATTAGGAGCTTTAGTGGAATAGAAATATTTACATCATTTTTGTGTCATTTGAGTGCTAGCTTTTATTGGCAATAGTATATTTAAACTTTTAAGTGGAATGGAATCATTTATATTTAAACAAAAAGATAAAATAACTTTTCAGTGTTAAAATAATTTGTGAAGTGCTTTCATTGTTTTCCATTTCATTGGACAAAACAGCATTTTTGATGACATACCAAACTTGAAACTGAACTAGGGAAAATGTAGATTTTTCACTCATTTAGATCTGCTTCAATTTTTAAGAAGTACCAAGATTATAGCTCTTTAGTGCATTTTATTCTATTTTTCATAGTTTTAAAATTGTTAGATATTAGATAAATACTAGGGCTTCAGTCTTTTATGTTTCATATGTGGTATTCTGAAATATGTAATGGCACAATTTTGGTTTCTATTATGCTTTAGTTTTTATAGGAACAGTATTGGAAGTAAAATGGTAGGGACATACTTATAGAGAATATATTGCTTGAATATGACTTATGGTTGTTATAAGATCGTTAATAGAATATCTATTTTATAGTGATATGTTGTGTCCTCAGAAACTGTAGAACAGAATAAAATTTATGCATATTGAAAATCTTTAGTAATAGTCCCAAATATGATTGCTTTACCTTAATATATGACTTTTATTCATGTGCTCTGAAGCATCAGATTTTTTATGAGGAAAAGTACCATGCAGTTAGGTATTATCTGTGTTTCTGATTTTAAAAGAAAGCATATGTTTACACATACACAAAATTTGTGTTTTGAAATTCGTTTCAAATGCATCAACAGAAATTTGAGCTCTTAGATAATATTTCATGATGAGTAATGAAAAGTTCTTTTTACTAAATCATTTGCGTATGTTTTATTTCATCTTTTAAAATAATAGATTTTATAAATTAATTGTTTTAGAAAGAACTGCTTTTTAATTTAGGATTTGTTTATGTAAATTTATAACTCTTCTTTTTTCTGTTACAGATTTTAGTGATAGGATTTTACATAAAATACAGTCTATGTTTTATTTCATAATTACATGTAAAATGAATACCTAAGTAGATGATACCCCTCTTTTCTCATCTAAAGCTCGATGCTTCAGTGAATATAAAAACATTATATATGAAAAGGCAAAGGCACAGTTTTTGAAGTCACCACTTTTTTATGTTAAAATTGTATTCTCTATAGTTTTAAGGATAACATTAATATCATAGGAGCACTATATGTGAACTGCAGTGTATAGGTATTCATAAACTGCCAAAATCATAAGTCCTATTCAAGAAATATGGCCTACCTAAATACATGTTTGCTTTTTTAAATTTTAATATATCTTATACAGAGACTGGTTTGGGTAATATGATGTAATTTAAAAAAAAATTAAGTAATTCTGATCTTGAGTATTGTTTTCATGAAACATCATTTTTAGTGACTGTATAATAGGTCACTAAGGGACTATAGTGGGTAGGTGGTTAAAACATTTTAATTTTGCCATTATGCTTACCACTCATTAAATGTCAGATGTAATTTTTGACTGAAATAGTTTCCTTTATATTTTGCAGTGGATGATGTGGGAGAGAAGTTAGAACATATGGGAAACACACCATTAAAAATCGGTAGTGATGGCTCACAAGAAGATGTTAAAGAAGATGGATTTGGTTCAGAAGTGATAAAAGTGTATATATTTAAAGCAGAGGCTGAAGATGACGTTGAAATAGGTACAGAACTCTTTTAATTCCATGATATAAGAGACATTAGAATTCTTACCTTTCATGGGGATTATTCTAAAGTTCTCAAAGACAAAAATGTTTATAGGCTTCCTAATGTATTTCTAAAACTGTGTATGAATATCTACATATAAAGTGGAGTGAGGACGATTCTGATATGAAACTATTATGGCATAAAATTGTAAAACAAATGAAAATAATTGGAATTAGAATAAGGCTTATAATGAGTGTTAATGAGCATTGATAACAGAGGCAGGTATTTTGGTTTTTAAAACTACTTCTAGCGCTTAACTGAGAAACCTTCAATGACTTGTATGATCTCTGCCTTGTTTCTTATGATGGCCATAATGATTGTGACTATCTAATGTAGTTTTTATGAGAAAAAAGTGATATATATATATATATGTATTTTATATATTATATATATAATTTTTATAGTGCATGGCATGTAAGTATGACATAAATGTTAACATCTGAAACGAGGGATAAGTTTTCCAAAGTATAATTTACATGAATATTTTCATGTACTTTGAAGTTTTTTAGAATTTTTGTATGTTCTCTATATCCTCTTCATTATTTCATGGATTTATTTCATGATATATTTATAGTTTGCATGTGTTTTAATTTTTAAGGTGGGACAGAAATTGTCACAGACAGTGAATATACCAGTGGACATTCTGTAGCTGGAGTGGTTGACCAGAGCCGAATGCAGCGAGGGAAAATGGTTTACATGGCAGTCAAAGATTCTTCCCAAGAAGAAGATGATATCAGTAAGATAAAATGGCACTGCAGTGACTTATAGGAAGCAGTGATAAAACTTTAAAGCATTGATAACAAAAGTAGATTACTAAATAAAAACAAAGTTTAGGAAATAAGGAATTTCTTGCAAATATTTTTTAAAAGTGTTCTTTTAGGCATTCCTGCACCAATGTATTACTCAGATAGGGATACATGAATTCTACATTTCAAATAATATGTTACAAAGAGATGAATAGTTTATCGTTTTTGATATAATGAAGTTTACAAATATATAGAAATTGAATCATATAGTATACATTTTGTTTATATAATTACATCTGTTTAATTGGGGCTAGAGAGGTGGCTCAATAGTTAAAAGCACTTACTGCTCTTGCCAGGTTCAGTTTCAATTCTTATGTCTAGCAAATTATAACCACCTGTAACTCTAGTTTCAGGGGATCCAACACCTTCTTCTGGCTTACATGGGTACATGCACACATGTAGTGCATATAAGTTCACATTGTAATACACATATAAATTTAAGAAAATAACCATTTTTAGATCTGTTTAGTTTCATTTATCTTTAATAATTCAACTCTGAGGTGGAAAATACTTTTCTTTTATAAGACAATAAAGGCTCAGAGAAAATAAGTTGCCCAAGACCTTTATAGTACTAAAATTTGAATTCTTGTCTAACTTTACTTCCTGTGTTTCCTCCACATGGCAGTAAGCACATTTGGCCTATGTGGATTTAACAGTGGAAGGGCTAACTGGTTCATATCCTATCATTGATAAGTTAAGTGGGTAAATAATTATATAAGTTATTCTGCCAGGATCTCAATTTGTTATGCTGTTCATGAATAATTGTTATTAGGGTTTCTTGGGAGTGAGAACTGAGGACCACAGGGTAAAAATCTTATTCAGATTTGCTTTCTTTTGTCATGTTTCACTCTTTATGTTTATTTTTCATGAAGGTATTTTATTCTCCATTGTCTTTATGTCATTATGCAGTTTTTTGCTAAGGCTACATTTGTCTTGTTGCCATGCTGACAAACACTATTTTGTCATCATAGAAGGGCAAGAGCCTCCTTTTCACAGAAAGACCATGATAGTTTATGTTCTACTTATGCCAAACTCTAATAACTACTACTAAAGTCTTTCTTTATCAACTATAGAGGGCTGAATTCTACCTCCCTTTCACAGCTGAAAATACCAAAATACTTGGTGGAGAGTATTTGAATAGGGAACAAAACGTTTATTGAAATAACCTTTGTTTCATCTCTAAATCATATTATTTTTTACTCACTGATTAAGTAAGAGGCATGGTAGGAGATGAGAAACTGAGGCATAGGTTTAGCTAATGCCAGAATTCACTAGGAATTTGGAAAACTTAGACCAGTATTTTGTGGTTATTAAAGAGGAGAAACTGGAGGATACCTTTCACTCTACTGTGTTTATACATTTCCTCTAAAGGAAATAGACGATTCAAATTTTTTAATCGTAAGGAAAGCATATATTGAATTCAACGATGCATTTATGACATTAAATAGAGATCAATTTTCGCAGAAGGCATGTAAATTTTCTCTCTAGGTTTAAATTCTTAACTCCAATAATAATATTTTTAAATGTTTTATTTTTCTGTCAGTAGTGTACTTAAATTTCATGCTTCTTGAAGAGGGTCTACTAATTCTTGAGCAACAGCATTTCATATTTATATATGCATATATAATATATAATTTTAATTATTTTTAAAAGTTTACTCAGTGATTAGTATATTGATTATTATTCATTATACATATGGTTCTTTCAAAATAGTGCAGGAAAGCATAAATTACTCTGTAGCAATATTTTCATAGAAAATGTTTTCTGAGTTCCAAAAAGCTCTCAGGAAGATTGATAGAATAACTCCCCGATTATAAAATTGCAGTGTCTTATGGATTGTAATACCCTGTTCAAGCACACCTGTTTTGTAAGTATAAAAGTCATTTTCAGAGACAGGCATGATGGTTCATGGCTGTAATCCCAGGACACAGAAGGCTGAAGACTGCAAGTTTTAGACCAGCTTTTGGATGCAAAGCAATACCTTGTCTCAGAATGAAAAATAAAGAAGCCATTTTCATAGAACTTGTTTCTAATACATAAAGATACTACTTTTGGTAAACAATTGTCTTCTAGAAGCATTATCTATCAAAAATATCTAATATAAACTAAATTTAAATTTATACATTTTAAAATTAACTAACGTGAAATTTTGAAAACTTTTTAAACTTGTTTGAAAATATTTTTGCCCATTTATTAAATACTTGAGATTGTAAACAAGCAATTATTTCTAAAATTTAGGTTATGCTGAAATATCAAATGAACCATACATGGAAATCACTATAGGGGAAGAGGAAGAAACAGTCCTTGAGATTCAGCTTGAGAACACTGATGTTAATAATGCAGGTTTCCCTGTTGTCTATCCTGCATCATATGGTAGGATACTAGTATTTTTACCTAAGTACATAAAGTATGTATTTACCACGCCTTTGAGCAATTTAATATTCTGTGCTATAATGCCACTATGTACTGGCTAATAGTGAAATGGATTAATAAAAATGCTGCAGGATCCCCGCAGCAGCAGGCAGCAGGCCATGTGGCTTCAGGCAGTGGGCAGAGTCTAGGCAGAGACTGGACAGGAGACCATGCCACCAAGTCTCTGAAGGTGGCTGGTCCTGGGCAGGGAACCATGTAGTGGCAGGGAGAGACAGACAGATAGGCTCGCTATGCAGAGTGAGGTTGGATATTTATTAAGTAGGTTATGGATGGGAGGGGAGAAGGGGAGAAGAGTAGAGAGGGAGGGAGGAAGGGAGAGAGAGAGAGAAGGGAAGGGGAGGGGAGGGGAGAGGAGGGGAAAGAAGGGAGAAGAGAAGGTGGGAGAGAAGGGAGAGATGGAAGCTGCCTTTCTGAGAGGAAGACAAAAAAGAGAGAGAGCTCAGGCAGGAAGCTGAAAATCAGCCTGTCTCAGGAGATGGGGGAGTGAGCGTGGCTTGTCTATTAAAGAGAAAAAACAGTCATTACGAATAGAATGAAATATTCTTCTGTGAATTGATTCATCTCCAGTTATTTTACATGATTTTTCTATCACTATTAAACCTTGTTTACTGCATTTTTGTTAGGATCGCTTCTAAATCCTACCTGTATAGGTGAGCACCATAAAATATTTTTATAAAATAGGAGTACTATTTTAAAATTTATCCTTCCCCTTTTACAAAAATGTATTTCATTTGTTGACACACAAACAATAAAACTGAGGTTCTGAAAAAAGCAAATTCTCTAGAATATATCTTCATTTATCAAGTTTTTTTCTTAGCCCATTTTGTCTTTTGTTAGTCTCATTTTTTATAATGTATACATTAAAAGCTTCTGATGTACAATGCATTAATTTATCCAAAGTTGTTTTTTTCCAAGTTTCATTCATTTCATTGTTTCATGTATTGAATATCTTCATTGCTAAGTGTACTCTGCAGAAATAGCTACTCAGTTTTCACTTAAAATGAAAAACTGTTCAAGATATTATCAATTCTAATGAAGCAGACAGTAATATTTATTTTCAGAGTGGAGAATATTATCTAACTTATGTAAATTTTCAATAACAAGTGTATTTCATTGAGAAATTTGAGCAAAGGTAAAATTTTATAGGTTAAAATAGGTTCTGTAGGCAGTATATTAGTTTATAATTAGTCCCTTTTTATAGATGAAAGAAGAGTTTCCAGAAGGTATGAAGATTGTCAAGCAACAGGTGAGACAGCACTATAAAAGAGATAAAAATTAAATGTTTTGTTTTATATACTACTTGATAAGTAAAAAATTTAGCTTTGATTTCAGTAGTCATATTTGTTGGACTATTATTGAAATTATGTAGGGGTTTGCCTCTTTAACAACCAACATACATAAATACAGTGTGCATTAAGTTATGAATGAAATCCATTTTAGATTTCCCTGATGATACAAGAATTAGACAGTTTACCACATAGGCTGTAAAAGGTCCCTTTAGAAAAACTACATAAATTACTTGAAGAATAAAAGAACAATTGTTCATATCAACCATTTGTCAACGTTAGAGTGAGACTGCCTTCTTAATTTCTATGGAAAACATCTAATATGAATATATCATAAATTCATACCTAGTTTAATACATTGTGTTTAGTGTTATTCCATGATGGATCAGTTTCTTTATCTTAGGGAGACTTTTTCTAATGACAAAGTATATAATTTTTCAGTTTTTTCCCCATGGGCAGTATTTCACTCTAAATTTTAATATAGGTTTAATAGAAATCAACAGAAGACATATAAATCAGCATATATGCTAGTCTGACAGTTTTGTGATTTGAAAATTTAGTGTATTTCTTAGTTATTATTCTATTGCTGTTAAGAGCTGTTACCAAGGCAGCTTTTATTAAAGAAAGCATTTAATTGGTGTCTTGCTTACAGTTTCAGTGATTCAGTCCATTATCACCATGTCAGGAAGCATGGCAGTAGGCAAACAGGTAGGCAGGCAGGCTTGGGGATGAGAACTTACATCCTGTTCAGTAGGTAGGCAGGCCAGCAGAAAGAGATACTGTGCTTAAGGTAGGGTTTTGAAACCTCAAAGTCCACCTCACCTTCTCCTACAAGGGCACACTGTCTCCAATAAGTCCACAGCTCCCAGTCCTTCCCAAACTGTTCCACTAACTGGGAACCAAATACTCAAACATATGTGCCTTTGGGGACTATGCTCATTCAAACCGTCACAATTTTGCATGCATTAATCATAATTAAATTGAAGAAAATTACCTGCTAAGTCTATTTTAATTCCTGAAGTCAGTCTAAATAATAATTTTCACACCATAAAACTTACATGTAGCATCTATTTTACATATAACTACAATGACTATATTGGTTCACTTAGTTATATATGTTCTTTTCTGAATCCCTTTAATATTGTCAGGTTCTATTCATAAGAAATTAATCTGATGTCATAATTTTGTATGTTATATTAATCTTACCAGTTTATTCCTTAAGAGGGTGGTCATGTTGAAATAACTTAAATTTGTGTGCTGTCTTACTCAATGTGCTTGCATGTACAAAAGAGGATATGAATTAAACTTAGAAGAATGAGAACATGTGTATACTTTTTGGATTTTATATCATAACTTAGTACCATGTCACATCAAGTCATTTACTTAACAAAGCCCTAAAACTATAAATATATGCAATTGAACAGTTTCCATTTTTGTTCTCAGGAAACACTTTTGACTCAACGTTAGAAAACAGAAACACTACAGCAGCACAGTACCTTCAAATTTGTGATAGCATTAACACAAATAAAGTACTTAAACAAAAAATCAAGAAGAGGAGAAGGGGAGAAACAAGGCAATGGCAAACAGGTAAAAAAATCTGTTTTATGAATATAGCAATTTGAGATGTACAATTTTATGTAATACAAGGAGGTAAATCAATGTTGGCAAGTTATGCCTCACATAGCCCTGTATATTTTATAGATAACTACATATATTAAGATTTATTTTAACTTATTGTGTGTGTTTGCACCACATGTGTGCAGGTGTTTATGAAGGGCAGAAGACAGTGTTGTATCCCTTGGAACTGCAGTTACATGTAGTTTTGAGCTACCCGACATGAGTGCTGAGAACTAAGCTAAGATCCTCTGCAAGAGCAGCAAGTGCTCTCAACAGCTAGGCTATTTCTCCAGCTCTGATACTACATTTAGCAGTATATGATTGGTGCTCTAAAATTGCTTATTTGCTCCTCTTTAAAAGACATCTAAAGGCAAATTCCATATGCTTTAATTATAAAGGTGATTTATTCCTATTTTTTGTATTTCATGCCATAGATTTGTAGTCTATTACTCAGTACTCATTAGTCAGTTAGCAACATTACTACAAAAATTTTATAAAATGCATTTTTATCTTATAAGGCTTTTATTCAACTTAGTATTTCCACATAGTGAATTTTAGCTAGTTTCAGGAGCAGTTTTGTAAATTATTTTAAAGCAGTGTGATCAAATGTCACAATTTCCTTTTTTTTTCTATCCAGCTGTTATAATAGGCCCTGATGGACAGCCCTTGACAGTATACCCTTGCCATATTTGCACAAAAAAGTTTAAATCCAGGGGATTCTTAAAAAGACACATGAAGAATCATCCTGATCATTTGATGAGAAAGAAATATCAGTGTACAGATTGTGACTTTGCAACTAACAAGAAAGTTAGTTTCCATAACCACTTAAAAAGCCATAAGCTCATAAACAAAGTTGACAAAACCCATGAATTTACAGAATACACTCGAAGATACAGAGAAGCTAGTCCACTGAGTTCAAATAAACTCATCTTAAGAGACAAGGAGCCGAAGATGCACAAGTGCAAGTACTGTGACTATGAAACTGCCGAACAAGGACTGTTAAACAGACATTTGCTGGCTGTTCACAGTAAGAATTTCCCTCATGTTTGTGTTGAGTGTGGAAAGGGTTTTCGTCATCCTTCTGAACTCAAGAAACATATGAGAACCCATACCGGTGAGAAGCCATATCAGTGTCAGTATTGTGTCTTCAGGTGTGCAGATCAATCAAATCTGAAAACTCACATTAAGTCTAAGCATGGTAACAACTTGCCGTATAAATGCGAGCATTGTCCTCAAGCATTTGGTGATGAAAGAGAGCTTCAACGCCATCTGGATTTGTTTCAAGGACATAAAACACACCAATGTCCTCATTGTGATCACAAGAGCACCAACTCAAGTGACCTTAAGCGGCACATCATATCTGTCCATACCAAGGACTTCCCTCACAAATGTGAAGTCTGTGATAAAGGTTTTCATCGTCCTTCAGAGCTTAAAAAACATAGTGATATTCATAAGGGTAGAAAGATTCATCAGTGTAGGCACTGTGACTTTAAAACATCAGATCCATTTATTCTTAGTGGTCATATCCTATCAGTTCATACTAAAGATCAGTCATTGAAGTGTAAGCGGTGCAAGAGAGGGTTCAGACAACAGAATGAGCTCAAAAAGCACATGAAGACGCATACTGGAAGGAAGATTTACCAATGTGAATATTGTGAATACAGCACCACAGATGCATCTGGATTTAAACGGCATGTGATTTCCATACATACAAAAGACTATCCACACAGGTGTGAATTCTGCAAGAAGGGATTCCGAAGGCCATCAGAAAAAAACCAGCATATAATGAGGCACCACAAGGAGACTCTTATATAGTAAGATCAATATAAGGAAGTTATTTACAAAATAAGATGCTATTTGGGAGGAGAATCTCACTGTTTTATCTGGTTTCAAAGCTTGATATTAAGTCATACCTTTACATTCTTTGTATTAAAGATCTTAAAATATTTGGATTAGAAGGGGGATCTCATAGCCCTTTGAAAATTACTTAATGAATTTAAGATGCACCATAGGATGGTTGCAGAGAAACTTAACTCTGTATTAACAGTATTATATGCATAACTAAACTACAGAGGGGAAAAGTTAAGACACCTTATTTGATTGGTCACACTAGAGATAAGTGTTTTTGAAAGAAGATACATAATCGATTTAGAAATGCTTTGCTGTAGCAAGCAGCCTCACTTTTATGCAATTTTAGAAATGGGGTGGGCAAAGAAAATGCAGTCATCCATCAGTCACTTAGTCATTGAGCCTTTTATATTGTACCTGGACATTGGATTCCAGAAATGGCAAATGTTTTGTGTATTCGTTACAAAGAATCTCACTGAGAAAACAAGTTATATTAATTCAGTGCTAGTAAAAAAAGAGAACTTTAGAGTTGCCAATATTTTATCACAGGATAGGATGTTTAAGACATCGTATTCTGTGCTGAAATCTGAAGTGAAATATAAGAAATAAAGTTCCAGTTTTGGTGTTCAAGTAGATTCAGTATGGCATATATGATAAAGGTGTATTTGAGTTAAATGTGGCTTTCTAAAATGGCTACAACTATGTTACAAAGTCAGCACTATGTTTCTTATAATCTAAATATTAATTGAGTTTTCTTAAATATTTAGAATTTTTAGGACAGTTTTAGTAAGTATGACTGTTTAAGTCTTACTTGCTTTAATGTTTAAAGGTGCAATTTTATGCCATTATTGTAAAGTTTGGTTTTTACAATCTATATACCATATTCTTAATATAAATTTTCAATGAGGCGGTATTTATGCAGTATTTAACAGAACAATATGCTGCCAATAGAGTTTGGAGGTGGATATTCAGTTTACAGTGTATAAATTTAAAATATGCATCCCTTTAACAACGCTTTGTGTTAGCATGCTGCAAATCAAAATGACACTTAATATTAAAAGCTGGTGTAGGGAATTTTAATGAAAATCCTGTTCATAAATGTAATGCATATGATGTGTACTTTTAAGTTTTAGTTGGCTTAATTTAGTTTATATTCATCTGTTCAGCATAACTAAAATGTACTTTTTCTTCATGCTATATTGTGGCTTTGTATTTTAAGTAATATTCATCTTTCTGTTTTGCACCAGATAAGAATCAGTTACTTGAAAACAAATTTTTTATCTTTCTTAACTTCAGAAAACTAAATTTGGAAAATGTACTAAACTTGTGTGTTATGTGGCTGTAAATGATGTACACGCTGTAAAATAAGATTGTTACTGTTATGTGGACTTATTATTTCTAAATGTTACTCATTGAAATGAGCATACAATAAAAAGCATTTATTGCACTTCAAAGTTTTCTAAGTTTATTTAAAGTTGTGTTATAATGGCATTTCTTTATTAAAGACTTCTCACTTAAACTTTCCCAATATACATTCAGAAGACAAATCATTGATTTAATCATTTGGGAAATGTTTCTTAAAATAAGCATACACTAATGTGCTATTCTCCAGTAGTTATTATTTAACAGAATTCATATTGCTAATGTACATATATATCACTATAAGTTAAAATTCTGCCAACTGAGTGATTATTCTTTAAAGCCCATCAGCAGTAAAAATCTGTTAACTTCATGTATTAGACCAGTACCCACAAATCCAGTAATTCACATGTTCACGTAGGGATCTTATTGACATGCACATTCAAATTCAGTTGTAGTGACTGCAGTTTTGTATTTCTAGCAAGTTTACCTGTGTTGTCGTCCTGTGAGTACTAAGCTGATAAAAAGTATCCAGTGTAATTCTAGAATATAGTTCTCTGTTCTTGCTTAAATAACTGGGTAAGTGGATAAAGACAACCCATATTGAGGACATGCCATTAAGAGCAAGAAAATGAAACCTGTAAATACAAATAATCTGATTTGAAATAAACTGACAAACAATGGTGAGCAAGTAGGACTGATAAAGAGATGAGACCAGTGAGAAATTTCTGGTTGGAAACCACTGTGGATTTGAAAGAATGGAGTACAGCTTTCTTTCTTTTTCTTTATTTCTCTTCCTTCCTACCTCTTTCTTTCTTTCATTTTTTCCCTTTAGTTTATATTTGAGGATCATTCCGGAGACCATAAGGACTATATCACAGAGTTTCTGAGGGAAGCAAGGTGCCATATAAAGAGATTGTTCGTGATTACAGTGGAACTAAAAAAAATAGATCTGTTACAAATTGTCTCTTAAAAGCTTCAGTCCAGACAGAATCAAAATTCAGCTCACATTACAAATTAAAGGTAGTCATTTAAAGAACAGGTTTTCTTGGCACAGGACTGCCCTGTGTGTCTATATGGAAATTACTGAAAAGTCCTTTTTACAGAATAGCCATCATGTGCTGATGGATTTTTTCAACTACTTTTAATGTTCAACAACTTTAAAAATGATCTATGGCTTGACACAAAGTATCAGGAATTTCTTCCCAGATAGAGTTCTCAGAATCAACTCATGTCCCAAGCACGATAACCACCAATATCAATCTTGCACTGCTCTTGAAAAGATTTTTTATACACACAAATTCAGGAATAAAATTAAGTTCTGTGTACCCATTACAAATCTTCAATGATTAAGGTTACATTACAAAGCTTGTTTCATTTATATTATTTTTATTCTCTTTATTCACTTAACAATAATTGGTTATTTGATGCCTCCCTCTCCCAGTGGTTTAATTTGAAGGGAACCCCAGAAACTATTTAAAGAAGTTTTGGTAAATGATAGAATTTTCTCATTTATGAAGGCAGAGGAACCATAGAATCATAGCCGACTAAACCTGGGACTCTATCCAATTAAGTTTTTTTTCTTTAATTTTTGAGTAAATGTTTGTTTAGAAGAACATGCTGGTATAGGACTATGTAATAACTATAGAATATCATTAGTTTGAAGAATCTTATTTCTCAATTTCATGTAGATCAACTCTATCCTTCTAAAGCATTACCTTGTACACCTGAAACCTATAAGAGAGGTTGCATACAAACTCTGATCCTAGATGCCTGCCTTTTCCAAATATTATGCCTTTATATTTGTACATTTTCAAGTAACTACCCCAAAGAGAATTGTGTTTTATTTAAAAACCTGAACCAATTGGAAGTATTAATATTGCCTCATACATTCCTTAATGTCTTAAGTCACCTCCCATCTGATTTACAATCTCTGTCATTCTAGGAACAGATATTTTCCTCAGTATGACTGTCTCACTAGACTCCTTTAGGAAACTACATAAAATATGTATATATTGGCTCATTTAAATAAATTGGTTTTGTTGGGTCCAGATTCACACAAAAAGTATTCAACACCGATGGTATTAGCAAAGTACATTACTAAAGCATTTTTTTTTATTTTTTTATTTTTTAAATTTATTTATTTATTAAGGATTTCTGCCTCGTCCCCACAACCGCTTCCCATTTCCCTCCCCCTCCCCCGATCAAGTCCCCCTCCCTCATCTGCTCGAAGAGCAATCAGGGTTCCCTGACCTGTGGGAAGCCCAAGGACTGCCCACCTCTATCCAGGTCATTTTTTTATGCATTTAATATATTAAAAAGGAACATAGTATAAATGCTGTGGTATAAAGAGGATCCACATTTTTCACAGAATTCTTAAAAACGATTTTACAGTGAACAAGCATCTTGAAACATGGAAGTATTATTAAACAAAATTTCAAAACTATAATCCTTGCAGTGAAACATTTTGCCATTTTATCTATCAACATCACTGTTCTTCTAAAAAGAATTTATCAACACTGTCTTCTTATGTAAAAATATACATGTAGATATTTAACTTCCTGAGTGACTAGTCATACATCAAATATAATTTAATGAAAGGATTTTAAAGTTCTTAGAATGAACTAGTATAGATTTATAATGTATACTTGTGATAAAATTCAAGAGCATACCACAGAATTTGTACTTAAATTCTGAATTAGAAAATGATTTATCCCCAAACAAAACCAATAAACTGTTTTAAATAAACTGTTAATAAAACGGATTACTGAGATCCATTTTCTCATTTATTAACAAAATGCAGATAGTCATTTCAGACTACCAACTTGGATACTTCCTACTATATACACCAAAATGATTTCATTACCAAGAAAATCTTTGCAACACAAAAGGGTGAGATAATTCAAATATTTGCTTTATAATACAACCAATCTATACAGTTCATCTTCCCTAGACTGAAGTGACTGGAATGGTGGGACATTCTTTTCTGTGGAATCCTCCCTCTTCAGAAGCCCTGAGGTACAAATGTGGAGCTCAGTCCTGCCTTCTGTAGGAAACTGATGCTAGGCTTAAAGTCGTCTCTTTTTCAAAGACAGGTGGAAAACTGTGGGGCTACTCCATACAGTTTTAGAAATATTTCCAGAACAACTTAATGAAAAGGGCCTAAGCATTTTGTTTTAAAGTCTGCCCCTTAAAAGAATTCTGTAGCATGTATTTCAAACAAAAACACTGCTGGGATGAGAAACCAAAGTTTACAAACACAATTTGGTGTTTTTGAGGGTTTCTCTGTGGCTGTCTTGGAACTTACTTTGCATACCAGGCTGGCCTCAAACTCAAAGATCCACCTGCTCTAGTTCCTGAGTGGAGTGCTGAGATTAAAGGTATGTGCCACCACGACCAGCTTTGTATAAACACATTCTTTATGAGATAAAGATAATTGTACTTGTGTCACATAACAATTCCACTATTCATTTGTATAATAAAAAGAGGTAGGTCTTATTCTGGAGTATATAGTAGGTATTTTTATTAATAAAAGATATGCTTATTATAGTCTTTACTGAAATACCTTGTTTACTATTTATCCTAGAGTAAGTATTGAACACTATGTGCTTTTCAGTTAAAAAAAAACTCCCACAAAATAAAGTACATTTTGTAATGGTGTGTCATGGTGAAAATGGGCGATTTGAGGAAATTATTTGAAAATAGTTACTTTGAAAAGAATTTCTGTTTTCCAAATAAGTGTAATCTTTATAAATTGCAACAATGAGAAAGAAATGCAAAGAGAATTTTGTTAAATTGATATAAATTTGATGGTTAAATTTTTTTTTTAAATTGCCCTCCTTTTATAGTCTTTAAGTTTGAAAAAATTAATATGGCTAAAGCACCCGTATAAAGATGGGAAGAAATGTCTTAGCAAACGATGTTTGGGCTTAGAAAATAAATTTGTAAGCAAAGGTATTATGATATTGTACTTTGCATCAGTTGGTTGTCAAACTTTTGTTAAAGTTCCACATTTAGTAGGCAACATCAAAAAGAGTTTTTTTGTTTTCGTTTTACAGTATTGCTTCTAACCTCCTGTATAAACATTCGAATGATAAAACTTCCTGCCAATATATGAAGATAAGCTAAAAATTGTTCCTATACATCTCCAATTTGAAGTTCCACAAAGACCATATAGATGCTTAACATCTTATTTATTTAGACATATACACAAATTTGCATGTCAGACTTTAGTCTTCATTTTATTTGACAAATCTGAAGTGAAAACATAGAAATAGAAATGAGATAAACAGGCATCCTCACCTGACATCATTGAGAAACTTTATGGAATTGGTGAAAGGAAAATACATCAATTTAGTTCGTCTTAATTCTATTGATCTTATTTTCAAATACAGAGAAAATCTCTCTGCCATTAAGTTTTGTAAGAGGGTTTTTTTTCTTTAAAAAATTGGTAACTATAATGAGAAACTTTTAGATGACTCTAACGCACCATCCTTGATCAAATGGGCTGTCATTTTAATTGCTCTATAATTTTGGATATGAATAGTTTTTAGTTGTTTTGAAACAGTCCTACTTATTCTCATTTTCAAACTAATTATGGCAGCTTTCTGCCAAGGTAATTAAAACATCCTCTTACAACCTTTTTAATGGATAGATAATATACTACACTTTTGCTACAGTTAAATATATGAGTAGCTAACAGAGGAGAAACATCTTTTCATAAAATAGAGGATCACTGTATTGATAAAACAAATTTTATTCGTGTTTCAGAACTTAATGTCTAGCTCAAATGTTATGATAATATAAATAAGACTCTTAATTTCATTATCAAGACTTTTTAAATATTTCTCAGCTATAGGTCCAGTTAGTATAGTGCCACAGTCATGCCTATATTAACTGCTTCTTAGTATAATGAATAATTTTTAGAATATGCCTATAAACTGAAAAATTTTATAAAGGTTTCTGTAAATATTTTAGTACAAAACTATGTACTAGAAATGTAATCTGAATGTATTTGTTACATTAATTCTAACTTTGATGAAATAAATTGTAGGTTTTAATTAGGTTATACTATGAAATTTATTATTGTAATTTATTTAGCAAATATTTGTATCTACCTTGTAAAGTCATTACAATTCAACTAAGAAACTTCTAAATACATTAAAGACCCTACTATAAAATATTCTTCAAGTAAGATACAGTTATCAAATATCTTTTATTATTTTTATTACTTAAGTTTTTATGATTATGCAATATTTCAATGTTATAGCTATATCACTATGAAAACTTCTACATTCTTATTGCCCCACTACTACAGTATAGTACTATATGTTTTTAAGAAAGTGAATTGGATTACTTGCAGAAAACATGTTTTGAAAGAACAGATTTTTCCCAGGTACTTAGAACAAGTTGCACAATGTATAATTTAGTTAATGTAGTTATTTTAAAAGACATTAGCCCATTTCCTTGATTAACAACATTAACCTCCACCTCTGACTTAGCTATTTCCAAGGCATATTAGCATTGCCACACTCTTGTTTAGTCATAAGCTCAATATGAGAAATGTACATTTAGGCTGTTTATTTCATGCTCTAGTTAACCTATTTTTTTAATTTAATTGTCCTTTGCCTCTGCTTTCTGAAAAATAGCATTGAATCTTGTAGCTAAACTGCACATTTAACATAATAAAAGAACTTGTAAAGAATCTATGCTTACGAATAAGTTCAACATATATGAAGCACCCTATATAAAAGTAGCAGGTTAGGTTCTATAATGTCTGCAACAAGAGTTGAAACAAAGGTTTTTTTTTCCTATTTGTATGGTGTTGTATCAAATATTTCAATGTGCACAAAAGGATTCAGGTCTCTTAAATGGCTGGGGGAACTCATCTTCATAATTAAATCATCTTATTAGATTGATTGGGATAGGACTATGGTTCACAATTTGATTGTGCTTTAGCAATAGAAAATAACTATTAAAATACTGATGCAGACAGAAAATTTCCTTTGAATTGTAGTCCTGAAAAGTGGATCCATTCATGGCTAGAAAAGAAAAAAAAATGTATCTTAAAATTGATTCACAATTACTTTAAAATGCTGCCATTATTACATGCACATACATCCCAAAATTATTCAGCTGGATATGTATATTGCTAACAGAATATACTCCTTTATATAATGCTCAATAAAATTATAATCTCTCTGACTTAAGGCATGTGTTTTAAATGGCTGCAAACCAGAAGAAGGGAGATCGGTGTATTTTCTTCTTATGGACATATTTAGAGGTTAAGTACATGCTGAAACATCTCTGATAATAAAGATCTATCATCTGTGAACTTATATAAACATACTCTTCTATAACCCTTTCAGACCTTAACTATTTCATTGGTGACACAGAAATGGCTACTACACTAGACTCTTTATTTCACAGGTTCTCACTCTATTGTCACCTCTGAGGCACATGTCTAGCAATTGTTTCTGAGTCTTAACTTTCAGCACCAAATTATCCTTAAATGAAAAGTATGTGCCCTGTGCAGACCACTTTTGTTGCTAACTGGTTTTTGAGTTATCAAATTCTCTGTATCACTTGATAGTAACAGTTCCCAATTAGTTAATGACCTAAGAAAAATGACTTTGAAAGATTAAACTTTGCATGTATTTTTATTTTTGCTGAAGATTTACTAAATATGGCTTACTTGCACTAGTAACTTAAAAAATTGGTGCTTTCATAATGTGTAAAAGACCATTAGAACTAAAATCATGGTGACTTTATTATTACTGAAGTATTTGGGCTTATTTGACCAAAAGATATATATTTTAGTGAATCATTTAACAACTTTTAATTTTAGTAACAACATTAGAGAAGTATTATTTTAAAACTTAAAACTTTGGTAACTATGTTTGTCATTACAGTAAAAATGTAAAAATACATATATCATAAACCTCAGTTTCTAAATTGCACAATATACTCAATACTATACAACTCAGAAAACAAAACATTATTAGTAAACTGTATGCCCTTCTTATGCTGTCTTGCAATCAGCCATGCTTTTCCTGATTAACCACTTCTTGAGTTTACTAACAGTGGATTTGCTTTGTTTGTTTTTAGTATATAAGTCACTTGAAAAGTAAATATTAACATAACACAGAAGTTCCTTTCCACACAGTTTTAAATAAGATCACGTATGGTTTGAAAGGTGAAACTCTGAAACTTCTTTCTGCCCATTGTACCTGAGAAATGTTACACATTCCTATGCTTATGATCAATGATTTACTATTAAATATCACATAAAACTGTAGAAGTATATAATTAAGAAAAACTCCAGAGCTCTTTTTTTAATATTAGCAAGTTTGCTGAAGTTCAGCACTTTTAAAATTTGGGGATAGAAAATTGTTTTGTAACTGAGTAGTCCTGCACACCATAGGTGGCATGGGAGCACCTGTGGTCTATACCCAGTAGATGCCAATATAGTAAACCACTAATGAAAACTGAAACTGTCTAAAGACACTAAGTGCTCTGGAATTTAGAAGTAGATGCCACTGGAAAGAACCACTGTGCTAATGAATGTCTATTTTCTCTTTGACAATCACTATTATAAAGGTTAACAAAGAAAGTAGTAAAAGTCTTAAGAAATAGCTGTCGTCTATTTATAATAAAGAGATTTTAAAATAATCACCCCCTTCATGGCTTGAATTACTTAGAATGCTGTTGATATCTATGTTGTCTGGTCATGTTGAAGGGAGTTATAGAAAGTAAATATGCATGTCATTTGCATGGTTATTTAGCCTTACATTAAACTCCAGAATTTAAAGCTGGAGGATCTTACAATCTAGAGAGAAAACAGACACAACTCTCTTTTCAAATTTTAAAGCAATAAAAGTTAATAAGTATTCACATTCAAGAATACAAGACAAATTCTATTGATACATGACATTCATACTCCGTTGCCTTTCAAGTTTTCTGCTGCATTTGATACTTTACCTAAGTTTTAATTAAAACAGCCTAGAAACGCCCAAATAAACTTACATGAGTCCATTTATCTTCAGTTTTCTCAATCACGATAGTCTGTGTGTCACTTCCTGGTGGTATATATTCATAGTCATCATACAGGAGACCTAGGATTGGATATTGTGTCCTGTACCTATACACGAAAAACAGGTACACGTATTACAAAATAACTGTCATTTGTAGCCACTCCTATTTCCAGTCCCCTATTTAAATCAATTTATCCCTGAATGACTTTTTACTAATTTCAAATGAAATGCCCTCTCAAATATAAAAGAAAAACTGTCACTATTTTTATGTTTAATAAAGGGGAGAAACTTTGTCACTGCCCATGTTGGAACATTGTTAGCACAAGATAATGATACAGAGAAAAGACAAAAATAAAATAAGAACCATAAGTAATGAGCTCACTCCTTAGACAGTTGTTCATGTTTACAGGATAGAAAAATAAAAAAACAAATGAGTTTCAGAAATCTTATCAAGATAAAGTGACACAATAATGTATGCCGCTGCCCTATCTTGAGGGGCAGACCTCTCTAATGCTATTCTCTACATAGAAAAAAATCAGTATCGTGCTCCACCTCTCACTATGACAGTTCCAAATACTCATTGTCAAATATGTTTCAAAATACTAGATAAAAATTCCAACATGAGGGGCTGGAGAGATGGCTCAGTGGTTAAGAGCACTGCCTGCTCTTCCAAAGGTCCTGAGTTCAATTCCCAGCAACCACATGGTGGCTCACAACCATCTGTAAAGAGGTCTGGCACCCTCTTCTGGCCTTTAGGCATACACACAGACAGAATATTGTATACATAATAAATAAATAAATATTTTTTTAAAAAAATAATTAAAAAAATTCCACCATGAAATAATTCTTAAATTATAAATATTGCACCATTCTTAGTAGGGTAATAAATCTTGTTTTGTTGTACCTTATTCTCCATGTGAACTATTGTTTTACCTAATATATCCATGCCATAAATGCTACTCACAGTAACTCAGCTTTCTTTATTACCAGATCAACCAATGGTACCCCACATCACCATTTTATTTTCCTAAAGTACAAGGTTAGTGATGCTGAATATTCAGATATATACATTCTTTAAGCGACTAGGTAAAACATCTGTACTCAATAAAGGAAAAAATTATATGCTGATATTGATAATATCTGTTTTTAAAATAAAATAAGAAAAGACAAAGTTTATATAAGGGTTTATACTTTCCAGGATGTCAGATATGCAGTGTGATTAGGAGCATATGCCTGTCACATAAAGGGTTACTATTCTCACTTTGAATAATGTAGGCAAGATAAAGATTGTTTTCCAACTTAAAAAGCCGATTGTATTGTTTGCTAGAAGAGCAGCCAAAAATGCAGGAAGAGAAATGTGATACTGGATAAAAATTGGACCCAGGGTAAAGATTTAATAGAATCAGAAAAGACAATGATGTAGAGAGATTTAAAATAATTGTTTTGTTATTCTCAATATGTTTTAAAAGGTAGTTAACGTTTAAAAGTAACTTTTTTCATTATGTATATGAGAAAGTACACATGCTAAAAATAGAAAAGAGATCATAAAGAAGAGATAAAAATATACTTCTTATAATAGAGTATAATAGTGTTTGAGGGTAGATTGATAGGCTAAATAATGCTATTTATTAAAAATTATAAAGTAATGAAAATAAATACACATAATAAACAAATAACATAGATGATATATAATCATGAAAAATTCTAAATAAAAGATGGAAAACGAAGGAACAATAAGAATGTTGAATAAACAGCAAGCATCTAGCAAAATGGTAGATTTTAACACACCTTGTAGATAGTTGCAATAAGTATAAGGGTTTTTAATATGCTTTCTGACTGTAAATTGTTTAATTATATAAAGAACCAGCTAGCTGTGCTATTTAAAAATAAGCAAACAAAAAGTAATTCTCTAAATTAAAGAAATCCTCAGAAAAACTGATTATATTATATAAACTATATAGCAGAAAATTCTGCTATAATGTAGGTATGTTTTCGAAAAGCAAATGTGGTTGCTAATCTGTAGCACTACTAGGAAGTGACATGACCTTTAGGAGATGAGATCAAGTGAAAGTAACTAAGGTCATTGGAGGTATGGTATAGAAGATGTTGAGACCAGAGCCAGACCTCTCATCTTCTTCACTTCTTGACTGTAATGTGATAAACATCTACTTCTGTCATGTGTTCACTGCTAAGAAGTTGTGTCTTACCATAGGCTAAACAAAGGCAGTGAGATCAAACAACCATGGACTGAAGCTTCTGTGTGGTGGTCTGAATGAACTGTCCTCCACAATCTCAGAAATTTGAATGTCTGGTCCCTAGTTGGTAGAGTTGTCTGGGGACATTTAGGAGGTCTGGCCTTGTTGGAAGAAATATGTTATTGGAACCAGTCTTTGAGAGTTTAAAGACTTTTGCAAGAGTGCATTACACTGAAGGCCAGAATATTAGCTAACCCTTTCTTCTGAGCTTGCTGACCAGAGTTCAATCATCAGAATGTACTTGATGGAATAGGAAAATCAAGTCCCACAAGTGGTCCCGTAATCAACACATGTGTACCGTGGTATCCATATTCAAAATAAATAAATGCATTTAAAAAAGAAATTCTGTAGGAAATTTCAAAAGCCATTACAAAAATAATACACATACATAAACCTAATAATAGAATTCAAAACTACATGAACTAAAACTGGGCAGAAATGAACATGGTTTCAGTAACCGCTTTCTATAATAGAATGGACAGTATGTGAACATGGGAATAGGCTTGAATAACATTTTACAACCATGCCTAGAAGATATCAATAATATTTTCTACCTACAATGAATTAAAATATGTATTTTAATATATATGGAATTTTGTGTTTGGTAGACTAAATGTTAGACAAAGAAACAATAGTCAACAACTTTAAGAACAGTGTATGTTCCAGTTAAAATGAAGTGATATCAGAAATAAAAGTGAATACCTTGAGAAATTCACAAAAAATTGTAGGTTAAGTGATATTTTCAAACAATTAATAAAGTGAGGCTCAAGAAAAATATTAGTTATATTGCCTCTTTTATAAGAAAAGAACAATCCCAATCACATAGGTTTGTATCTTAGAAACTATTTTTAAAAAGTAAGCACACACACAGCCTAGTATAAAATAAAATTTTAACCAGGCAGTGGTGGCACATGTCTTTAATCCCAGCACTCAGGAGGCAGAGGCAGGTGGATCTCTGTGAGTACAAGACCAGCCTGGTCTACAAGAGCAAGTTCCAGGATGGGCTCAAAAGCTACAGAGAAAACTTGTATCAAAAGTCCAAAAAATAAAGATTATATTAGAGATAAACAGAAATCACTGAAATCAAAATTATTTCTAAATTATTAACATTGATTGACCAAGAAAAAGAGAAAGGTCTCAAATTGCTAAAATTGCACAGGTAAAATAGAGAGTCACTATTATTGACTTTGAAGAAAGAAAAAAGCCATGGATCTGGGAAAGGAATTTGAAGAGAGGAGGGATAGATGACAGATGAGGGAAATAAAACCCAAGGACAATGGCACGGGGTTTTGAACCTACGTAATGTGCTGGCTTTGTGGGAGCCTATCCAGTTTGGATGTTCACCTTCCTAGAAATGCACGGAGGGGGGAGGACCTAGGACTTACCACAGGGCAGGGAAATCTGACTGCTCTTTGGGCTGGAGAGGGAGGGGGAGAGGAGTGGGGGGAGGGGGAGAAGGGTGGCAGGAGGGGGAGGGAAATGGGAGGCTGGGAGGAGGAGGAAATTTGTTTTTTTTCTCTTTTCTCAATAAAAAAAAAGTTAAAAAAAGAGCCAATGGGAAATGAGAATAGATAGAGTACATTGTATACCTTTGTGAAATTGTTAAAGAACAAATTTAATCAATAAAAATAAGTATTATAAATGAAAAGCAAAATGTTAATACAGATTGACCAAGAAAAAGGAAAGAACTCAAATTACTGAAATCATATAAGGAAAAGGAAAATCACTATTACGGACTTTGGAAAAGTAAAACTCATAACATAGAAGTTCTATGAAAATCTCTATGTTGAAAAACTACATAACACAAATTAAATGTATAAATTCTTGGGAGAATACCAAGAATAAATCTCACAGGAACAAACAGAAAAACTATAAAAAACAAAGCAAGAGTAAACTAACTTCCCACAAAGAAAAAACAATCCTCAAATATTTGCAATGAATATAGTGTTTCAGGAACTTAAAGAATTAATGCTTGGTATTTCTCCCAAAAATATAGATTAGACACACACACACATACACACACACACACACACACACACACAATTTTGATTTCATTTTCTAAAGTAAGTTGTACCCTGCTACCATAACAAGAAATACATCACAAGAGTAAAGGAAAAAAAAAACAGATCAATATCATTCGGGAATGCAGAAGTAAAAATTCTCAATAAAATGTTAGTAAATCAAATCTAATAACATATAAAATAATTGCACAAATCAAATCTAATAACATACAAAATAATTTTGTAACATGAAAAAAAGCATTTGATTCAAACAATATGATATTGTAACATCTTAGAAATCACTTACTGTAATATGTTATTTACAGAATCATGCATGCACTCTTTTGATCATCTAATATAAATTTTCTAGCACTATCATAACTTGAAAAAGAACTTTATAAAGAACACAAGTGAACATCTTCAATTAAATAAAAACTCACAGCTAACATAATATTTTAAAAGTACTGAGTAAATTTCACCCATCCACTAACCAAGAACAGTAAAATGAAAAAATTCCCTTTTTTTATTTCTATTTAACATTGTATTGGAGGTATCAAGGCAATTTAAAAAGGAAATAAAATGTATCTAGAATGAAAATGAAGAAATTATATGCAAATGGAATGATCTCATAAGACTATTTTGATGAATTCAGTAAAAAACCAAACTATTATATCTTTAACCTTGAAGAATATAAAATGAATACACACACTACAAACTGTGATCCTATACCCTTATAATGAGTAATGTGAAAATAAAGTTAAGACAACAATTCTAGGAGTTGGAGAGATGGCTCGGAGGTTCAGAGTACTGGCTGCTCTTTCAGAGGACTCTGGCTTAAAACCATCGGCAACCTGGTTGTGGGAGATCTAATGCCCTCTTCTGGACCTCCCATTCACCCAGATATGTAAACAGGACACAGATACACATGCAGGCAAAACACCATACACATGAAGTTTTTTCCCTTAAGAAAGAAAGAAAATAACTGTACTAACAGTAACATGAAAACAAAACCCCAATACTTAAAAATAAATGTAGCAAGAAGTTTAAGATTTATATAGTATAAGATTCTTTTTTGTTTGTTTGTTCGTTTTCTTTAAAGAAAATATACTGACAATATCATAAAAAAATACTTAGGACAGAACATAACAAAGAATGTAAGATTTATAATTTGAAAACTACAAATTACTGTCTCATTAACTGAAAGGCAACTGGGCATGGTGGTGTACACCTTTAATCCCAGAAGTTGAGAGACAAAGGTAGGTGCATTTCTGTGGTTTGGAGGCCAGCCTGGTCAACCAAATATGGGGGCTTAAATGGGAATATTCCTCATTGGTTCATACATGTGAATGTTTGGTCCCTAATTAGTGGAACTGTCTTGGAAAGGATTAGAAGGTGTGATCTTGTTGGAGGAGGTGTGTGACTGCGGGTGGGCTTCAAAATCCCAGGTCTAGTCTTTCCTCTCACTCAGTCTCTCTCTTTCCTCCTCTTTCTTTCTCTTCTTCCCTCTCTCCCACACTTTTCACTGAGATTGTGGACCAGACATAACTCTCAGCTACTGTTCCAGTGCCATGCTATCCTGCCTACCTACCATGCTTCCTACCAGTGCCATTGCCATCCTGCTTACCTACCATGCTTCCTACTCTGATGATCAAGGACTCACCTTCTGATACTCTAAGCAAACCCTCAAGTAAACTCATTTTTTATATATATATAATTTGCTTTGGTCACTGTCTCTTCACAGCAACAGAAAAGTAACTACAACACCAGCTCTGCACAGTAAGAGCATCTCTTAAAATGAAAAGAATTGCTTGCTTAGCTAGGTTCAACCTCATAGATTTCTGGGAATTTCTGTTGTGCTAGGTTTCTAGCTCATCCTCAAGATATCCCCCAATTTCTGTTGTCTCTCTCAGTACTCTCTCCCTCCATCTGATTCTTCATGTTCACATACCTAACCACTCCCAGTCCACCCATAAGATCCCTTGTATTCACCTTCCCATGGAGATCTATGTGTCTGCCCTTGAGCAATCCTTGTGGTTGAGTCTCTCTGGGTCTGTGGATTGTAGTGTGATTATCCTTTACAGCTAATATACACTCATAAGTGAGTACATATCATGTTTGCCTTTCTGGGTCTGCACTACCTCACTTAGGATGATTTTTTTTCTAGGACCATTCATTTGCTTTCAAATTTCATGATATCATTGTTTTTAATGCTTCATTGTGTAAATGTATCACAATTTCTTTATCCATTCTTTGGTGGAGGGACATCGATGTTATTTCCAGTTTCTGGCTATTACAAATAATGGTGCTATGTACATAATTGAGCAAGTGTCCTTGTGGTAGGATGGAGCATCTTTTAGCTATATGCCTAGGAGTTTTATAGCTGGGTCTTGAGGTACATCTATTCCCAATTTTCTGAGAAATCACATGCTGATTTCCAAAGTGGCTCTACTAGTTTGTACTCCCACCAGCAGTGGAGGGGTGTTCCCCTTGCTTCACTTCCTCACCAGTATGAGCTGTTTCTTGTGTTTTTAAACTTAGCCATTCTGACAAGTGTAAGATGGAATCCCAGAGTTGTTTTGATTTGCATTTCCCTGATGGCTAAGGATGTTGTACATCTCTTAAGTGTTTCTCAGCCATTTGAGATTCCTCTGTTAAGAATTCTCTGTTTAGAACTGTATCTCATTTTAATTGGATTATTTGGTTTGATGGTATCTAGTTTCTTGAGTTCTTTATATATTTTTGATATCAGCCCTCTATGTGGTCTTGGAGGAAATCTTTTCCCAGTCTAAAGCTGCCATTTGTCCTATTGCTGGTGTCCTTTCTTATAGAAGTTTTTCAGTTTCATGAGGTCCCAGTTATTAATTATCAATCTTAGTGCCTGCATTATTGGTGTTCTGTTCAGAAACTTGTATCTGTATCTCTTGCTAACGTGTTCAGGGCTATTCCCCAGCTTCTCTTCTGTCAGATTCAGTGTATCTGGTTTTATGTTGAGGTCTTTGATCTATTTGGACTTGAGTTTTGTGCAGAGTGATAGATATGGATTTATTTGCTTTCTTTTATATGCTGACATCCACTTAGACCAGCATGATTTATTGAAGATGCTTGCTTTCTTTCCTCCATTATTTTACTTAGGCTTCTTTATCAAATATCAGGTGTACATAGGTGTATGAATTTACATCTGAAACTTTCATCCAATTCCATTGATCCACCTGTCTGCTTTTGTGCCAACACCATGCAGCTTTTATTGCTATAGCTTTGTAGTAGAGCTTGAAATCAGGGATGGTGATAACTACACAAGTTCTTTCAGTGTACAGGACTGTTTTATCTACCTTGGTTTGTTGATTTTCTATATAAAATGAGTTATTTTTCTTTCAATGTCTGTAAAGAATTATGTTAAAATTCTTATGGGGATTGCATTGAATCAATCTTGCTTTTGGTAAGATCACCATTTTTACTATACTAATCCTACTAATCCATGAGCATGGGAGATCTTTCCATCTTTTAATATCTTCTAGACTCCTAGTAGTGGGGAATATGGACCCTGAACTGGCCATCTCCTGTAACCAGGCAAGACATCCAGTGAAAGGATTGGGACAACAACCCAGTCACATAAATTTCAATCTACAAATTGTCCTGCTTACAAGATGTGTTAGGATATAGGTGGCTCAAAAATTATGGGAGTGGCCAACCAATGGCTGGTCCAGTTTAGTTCTATGCCACAAGAGTGATCTCATCCATGATACTACCTGGTGAGCCAGGAACAAGATGCTATATAACCCAGAGACCTAGGATAAAACCGAAAACAACTGGAAAAAAAGCAATGAAATGATTCTTAATAATATTCTGCTACACTCATAGATTAATGCTTAGCCCAATCATTATTAGAGATGCTTCATGTAGCAACTCACAGAAACAGATGCAAAGAGCCGCAGTCAAACATTAGACAGAACTCGGGGGGAATCCTGCTGAAGATAGGGAGGAAATACTGTGGGAGCCAGAGGGGTCAAGGACACCACAAGAAAACCCACAGATTCAACTCCCTGTGCTAATAGGAGCTCACTGAGACTGAACCGGCAAACAGGGTGCCTCCATGGAAGTTAACTAGACCCTCTGATTATATATTACAATTTTGTAGTTTGGTCTTCTTGTGGGGATTCCTAACAGTGGGAGCAGGAGCAATCTTTGACTCTTTTGGCAGGCTTTGGGACCCTCATACTCATACTGGGTTGCCTCATCAATTTAGTATGCCATATTTGATTGATAACAATGGGAGCCCTGCCCTCTGAATAGAGACAGAGTATGAGATGGGGAGGGGCAAATGGATAGCAGAGAGGAAATGAGGGGAGGGATTAGGGATGAGAGGCAGGAGAGGAAACATTGGTTGGTTTGTAAAACAAATAAAATATATATTTAGAAAAAAAGAGAAAAAAGAATTGACTTTGGAATCAGAGGTGGTCGGTAACATCAAGAAAAAAAATATTTTCCCAAAACAACAGGGCAGGTAAACATATGAAGTCACAATAAAGGTGACAATATGCATAAGATCTGCACATACTTCAACCAAAAGAATAAAGAATTTGGAGAGAAAAGAATGAATTAAAGATAGAGTTTAACTCTAAAAGTTCCCATACACATGGATTAGAATAGTTACTATTTTTAAGATGTTGATAAGAACTATTATATATATGAAATGTAATGAGAATTAACAAGGTAAAAATACATTTTTTACATAATTCTACAAACATACCTAACATTCATATAAAAAAGCAAGAGTTCACTAGTAGGAAAAATAATGTAGGCAAGAATGATTTGAAGAGCAGCATTCCTGCTTTAGATTTACTGACCTATAGGAATAATAGTAGTGTGACAATGACATAAATGCAGGCAGATCAGTGGAATAAAATTAATATTCTACCATAAAAACTAGCCAACTGCAAGGGGAAAGGAATTTAATAGAAATCTATTTAAAGAATATATAGATTTCATATATATGTGTATATACATGCACCATGATACATATAATGTCATATACATATAGTCATACATAATAACCAATTATTTATTTTTACTTCTCTAGTACTTAACATTCTATTAATGATACACCGTAGTTATATTTCATTTATATTTTAATAAATAAAGTTTGCCTGAAGTTCAGAGAGTAAAACAGCTGCACTGATTAACCTTACAGACCAGGTAGTGATGACACACACCTTAAATCCCAGGAGTCACACTAGTTTGCCATAAAAACCAAGCAACAGGGGTGCATGTCTTTAATTCCAGCCCTAGAGTGGAATATAAAGCAGGAGGAGACAGCTCTCACACACAGTCTCAATCTGAAATTCCTGGAGGGAGGACCACCATTTTTGGACTGAGTTAGAGGTAAGAGCCAGTGGCTGACTGGTTTGATTTTCTGACCTTTAGGTTGAACTCCAATTTCTGTCTCTGTGTTTTATTAATTATGCTACAATACACAATTATCCTAACTATGGTAGTAATGCCTTTTTTAACATCCATTCTTCAGTATAATTGCTTATGAGTAAAAATCAACCTCTTTATAATGATCTACACATCAACTAAGAGAATAACAACTTAAATTTTATAATAACATCACACATTCAAATGCCATTTTAAAGTACATTACTTTTTTGTGGTGATTGTTGTCCTTCCAACACTGGAGGGTTGGTTATGGGATGAATATATTTCCTGTCTCAACTTTGAGAGTTCCTTACAAAGAAAACACAATGATTCTTTAAATAGCAATATAAACATGAGCTAATATGATTACTAAGAATAACCCCCACCACTTCTCCTGCTTTGTTTTTATATAAAATGTTTTAATCCTACTAATCTTGATCCACAGTAGCCAAAATGCTATACATGCCTTTGAAGAACCCCACTAACTGAGGTAGGATATCAACAATTTATTGGACATGCTTCTCTCAGTATGAGAATGTGATTGCTTTTGTTTTGAACAGTTTAAAGTTAGGCTAATTAATGATGATGATGATGATGATGATGATGAAATTTCAATAAGGAAGTAGATGCAGAGTCCAAACAGAAAACTGCAAGTGACATTTTTTAAATAACAGCAATAAAATATTAGCCCATTGTTTTTAATAGTTCCTTTAGTACTTATTGTATGACAGATTTGGGGCGACTTGCTGCTGATATAATATAGTACCTTAATGAAAGATTAGTTCATGACCTAGGAGTGAGATCACGGGCTTTGAGTAATTTCACTGCTAATGAAATATAAATTAAATTTCTTAGAAATAGTAAAAGTACAACACCAATCTTTTTCCTTTAACTTCAATTTTTTCTTTCAGTTGAATTATTTCTCAAGTGGAAATCTTACTATTCACATATGTCCTCTCATGTGTAGTAAAGTATGTCTTCGTAAGGTGTCCTTTCCTTGATGTTCTAAGTGTCTAGTCTTTCACAACAGAACCATCCCTGCAGTTTAATGTCTTCTTTCTTAATCTATGGAAAGTATTTATTCTACAGAACCTATTATACCATTCTTCTCCACCATGTATTTTCCTCTTCTTCTTACATCTGATTGACGCTTTATAAGAGAATCCTTTTCTTCTAGCAAGCTTGTTAGTTCATGAAGCTTGAATTGGATGTCACTGCAACTTCCTTCTCTTTTGGAAACATCTTTTTGGTACTGGTTTAATTGAGACTAAGGATTTAGAAATAGGAATTTTATTATAAGGATTTTTAAAAAGACATATAATTCCAGTGAGTTATAGTTATGACACGTCATCAAATGAAAAATAATGTATCAATTTCCATAAATGTGTAGCAAATTTTGTTTATATAAAATATAATCTGAAATATCAGTTAGAAACTTCTCATTTTAAAAATTTGTGTTTGATATTTACAATTAAAGTACAAGCAATTGCTTTAGGCCAGAGCAATAAAATAAAGCTAAGAAAATAGGCATTTCAGATTTCTTCAAACACTAATTAAGGCACCTTCAATCTTAATGTTACGCTGTAACTTTCAGTTCACAAAATGATTCATGACGCATGTCTTAAATGAATTCTCACAGAATCCCAGAGAGATAAGCATTATTTTCAAAAGAGTTAAAATGAATCCCAGAAGGAATCCAGAATAACATAATAATGGCTGCAACTCAAAAGAAAAGACGCTCAAATACAAATCACAAATTTTGTCTTTCTCAGTTCCACATATATGGAAATAGAAGCTGCTTGGTTAAAGTGCTAGTAATAACATTAGGTTGGAAAAGAGGAAACCAGTGGAAGAAATTTCAGAATGATCAATAGATATATTAACAAATTAAGTTCCATTTAATTTATTTTAGAAAAAAACTTCATTGATATAAGATGAGAAAAATTATTGGCCATTTTGTTCATTAAAATATTCAAATGCATCTGACTACATTTAGGACACAATTAATTAAGGGTTAGTTAAATCAATTCAGCATGGAATTATAAGGCAACATACTATATTCTTGCAAATGTTCTAATTTTGATGTAAATTATAGATGGACGAAATCCAATATAATACAGAGAGCGAATGATCACGAGGTGTCCAGACTCAATTGATATATCTAAAACACAATTCCTGAACCTAAGTCTCAGGGAGCATCATGAAAGGAATGGGGGGGTAGGGACAGGAAGATTCTAAAAGCCAGAGAACCTATAAATCTGCTGTGAGATTGACCTTCTAGAAATGACTGGGAAATTTCACCCATGGTGCCTCAACATTATGGCTGCCTAAAAAAGACATGAAGAAGTATACCCCCAATAGACATGCCAACAAAGAAAGGGAAGATCTCACTAGGCTGAACCCATAGCCAAAGAATTGTAGGCAACTACAGAATGCGGAGAGTAGGAGAAATAAGTTTCCTTAGGGATGAATTCCTTAATTGGCTATTCAATACCGAATGCTTAACTTTAAAATTATATACATACAAGTAACATTAAGTGGGCTGAGCAGGTTGTATTTATGTAGTTAGGCATTTGTAAAAAAAATATGTAATAGTGACATTTTAAAGTAAAAGAGGCCAGGCTATCTAGAGAAAGCAAAGGATGGGTATATATACAGAAGGGATTGGAGGGAGGAATGAAAAGGGGGAAATGGTGTAATTATTATGATTTTGATTTTGCTTTTTTTGAGACAGGGTTTCTCTGTAGCTTTGGAGCCTGTCCTGGAACTAGCTCTTGTAGACCAGGCTGATCTCAAGAACTCACAGAGATCTGCCTGCCTCCGCCTTCTGAGTTCTGGGATTAAAGGCAATTAAAAAAGTTAACTAAAATATTTATAATCACTCTAATAAACTATGGCTCTTAGCTGTATAATTTTAAATATTACTCTTTTCTGAGTAAACATGCAATTTTATGAAGGGTCCTCCACCCATATCCTAAACATAAATTGTTAAAAATTGATAAAAATCAAGGTAATGAAATTAATATCTTTTTAACACCTGAGAAGAAAAAATAACCTACAGTAGAAAATAATTTAACTTAAGATAGCACTTAGAAATTTCATTGCTTTTTAATATTCAGAAATATGATTTTAAGGAAAGGTTTTAGAAAACCTTGAACCTATAATCCGTGATCCTAGAGAAGCTAAATAAGAAGGTGAACCCAAAGAAAAACATATAGTAATCCTCCTGGATACTGGAAGGAGACAAGATTGCTAGGCAAAAATTGGAAACTTGGGGGTGGGGTGGGGTAAGGGGAAATGGGGAGAAATAAGTGGGAAGGGGAAATGGGGAGAGCTTGGGGGAATGGGACGGTTGGGATGGAGGAAGGGTGGATATGGGAGCAGGGAAGTATATATCTTAATTAAGGGAGCCATTTTAGGGTTGGCAAGAGACTTGACTCTAGAGGTTCCCAGGTGTCCATGGAGATGTCCCCAGCTAGATCCTTGGGCAGCTGAGGAGAGGGAGCCTGAAATGGCCCTATCCTATAGCCATACTGATGAATATCTTGCATATCACCATAGAACCTTCATCTGGCAATGGATGAAGCTAGAGACAGAGACCCACATTGGAGCACTGGACTGAGCTCCCAAGGTCCAAATGAGGAGCAGAAGGAGAGAGGACATGAGCAAGGAAGTCAGGACCACGAGGGGTGCACCCACCCACTGAGACGGTGGGGGCTGATCTAATGGGAGCTCACCAAAGGAAGCTGGACTGGGACTGATGGAACATGTGATCAAACAGGACTATCTGAACATATCGGACAAGGAGGACTGGCTGAGAAGCCAAGGACAATGGCACTATGTTTTGATCCTACTGCATGTACTGGCTTTATGGGAGTCTAGTCTTTGTGGGATGCACACCTTCCTAGACCTGGATGGAGGGGGAGGACCTTGGACTTCCCACAGGGCAGGGAACCCTGACTGTTCTTTGGACTGGAGAGGGAGGGGAAGGGGGAGGGGGGAGGGAGAGGGAAATGGGAGGAGGGGAGGAGGTGGAAATCTTTAAGTAAAAATAAATAAAAAAATCTTTAACTTACATATTTTTCTTTGTAGATTTAAAATTAAAACAATCATATTTATTTTTCTTTTTAATGGTAATAGGGTGGGGGATTGGTGCTGATGGTGATAAAAATCATTTTCTTTAATAAAATTTTTCTTTTCATGCATGTGTAAGGAGGCCAGAGGAGGGAGCTAGATCTTGGAGAGCTGTAGTTACAGGCATCTGAAGGCTGACTGGTTTGTTACATTGGTGATCAGACCCAAACTCTGCTCCCCATGATTAAACATCTCAGTTACCTCTCAAGGTCCAAGCATCACTTTTGTTGAAAAAAGTTTCTATAGACATGTACATTTATTCAATATAGGATCAACATACCCTTAGCTTGCTGATTTCTCTGTCTTTCTCAATTCTTAAGTTTTTTACCATCTCCATATAATGGTTGCCAATCTCATCCATTTTAGCCTGTAGTATTGGGCCTGTGCAAGTCTCAGAGACCTGTACAAAAACAAAATAACTGTCTGTAATTGGATTGTTAAGAAGGAAATATATATTAGGCTTCAGTATTTATTATTACATGAATACTGTGTGATTAAATAAGACATTGAAATAATAAAAATGACCTTGAGAGATTATTTGACAAATTTCAAGTGTCAGCATGATAAAACTTTCATTCAAGGTCAACAGAAAGGAGTCAATGTACTTCACAAGGTAAAGTTTGTGTATTCTGTTAACAATGATAGCTTTATAATTAGTTAAGTAGGACAATACTATAAAGATTAGTACCTGTATTCTAAGGTTTTTATTCTCTTGCTCTAAATTACGTTTACAATACTCTAGTTCTTTTAGTCTGTATTCCATGTCTGATAGTGTATGTCGAAGAGAAAGGTTATTTTCTTCCAATGTCTGACATTTTGAGCTTGAGTCTTGAAGTCCTTGCTGCAAAGAAGACACAAGTCCATAAGAAAATGCATTTTGATTTTAAAGTTGAAATGGCCTTTTAAGTGATTCATTGTGAAAAATAAAGCAAATGTTTCAAACTGAATCTTTTGAGACTCTTGCCTTTAGATGATATTTTAAACATCATACTAAACATTAAGATTGTCTCTAATCTCATTTGCCTAACTTGAGTAAAAATAAACATTTACATAAAATTTTCAGTGTCCCAATTTATTATTATATTCATGATAGTCTGACCACATCATAGTATACTGATAGTCACTAAAATAATCATGCCCTTGATTGTGGTAAAAAATATCAACTTTATAAAATCTTTGGGAAAGCCATGAGAAAAAAAAAAGAGAGAACAAACTCTTGGGCATCATTAGAGTTTGGTTAGATTTATCTCTGCTCAGTCAAGTATAAAAGTGCATAGAGTTCATTCCCTTGTTTATTCAGTAAACAAACAAGATCTACAAAGCTTCTTTTTTCCATTAACATAGCATTAGATTAAAAGAATGAGTCAACATCGACTTTCAGTGACAAATCATGTTGCTCCAAAGTACAGAGAACTGTGTGCTGCATATACTATCTAACACATAACGTTGCCAGGTTTTGTTTTGTATGTGTGTGTGTTTGAGAGGACATTCAGTTGTTGAAAAATGCGAAGCTAGCCGGGCGGTGGTGTTGAATGCCTTTAATCCAAGCACTCGGAAGGTAGAGGCAGGGAGATCTCTGTGAGTTCCAGGCCAGCCTGGTCTACAAGAGCTAGTTCCAGGACAGACACCAAAGTGACAGAGAAACTTTGTCTCGAACCCCCCCCCCAAAAAAAAAAAAAAACAAAAACACAAAAAAAATATTCAAAGCTGTTCAATTCTTAGGTGAACAAAGTGTTCCATTGCACTAAGACTCTCTGAACTGTATCTTAGAACTCCAGTATGCCAGTAATTGTGCATATGGAAAGCTATCAATCTAGAGTATCAACTACAAAAGACATCAACTTACTTGCTGTTGGCGATTATTTGCTCTCACCGATGCCAAGAGTTCTTCATACTCTTTTATTTGATTTTCTTTGAATGCCAAGTCCTTCTCAAGTCTTATCTTGTCATTTTCCAGAGACTAAAGGCATAAATTACTTATTAGGACTCAGAGTTATATAAAACTGTTAACAGGCAAAGGCTTATTTATGTTGCAAAATTTAAATAAACACTTGTTTCATCTGTAACTGCTTAAAAAAGTAGAATTCTTCAAAGTCAAGCAAAAGCTAAGATAGAAAAACCCAAGCTTTGAAAACATGTATTAGAAGGGCTGTTTTGATGGATTGGCTACTGCTAAGTGCAATGAAGCAGAAAGTGCTCAATCATTTTTATGTCTTACTTCAATCTACAAAGACTTCTTAATCCCAGCAGGTGGACAATTTTCAAATTAATGTTCAACTACACTCATGAGGATGCAGAAACAAACCAGAAAATTAGGAAAAAAGTGCTCCAAAGTCCTTAAGGTGTTTTTCACTGTGAAGAGAGCATTCAGAATGTTCTACCTGATGGCACCAAAAGTACAATTAAAATAAGAAAATATGAAAGGTTAAGTATTGGCAGGAAGGGGTTTTCAAGTTGTTTTATTTAAAGAGAAATTCAAAGTACGCTTTATTATTACAGTAAAGAAGGGAAATTCTATTAAATGGCTATGGTTGTTTTAATTTTATAGGCAACTCTGTTTTAAGCACTAAATTATTTTAGTGGTAAATTAAAAGATTGGTGCATGTCAATATATATTCATGCACCCGTGGGGAAGTTCTTTTGTCATCTTTTAATGCTAATTAGCTATTTCACAAATAATTTGTGTCTAGGTAGGTGTAATATTGTAATGTTGTAATACATTTAAGAAGTATATTGAATGTTTTGATTTCTGTTAGAAAGCTAAGAATCAGAAACATTTTGGAAAGAAATCTCGAAACAAATCTTACTGTCAAGTCATTTTGAAGATGTCCAAGTTCTTCCCGTATGTTGCTAAATGTGGACAACACTAGTCTCAGTGACTTATCAGACATACCCCTCATCTGTGGGAAGAAAGCAGTTAATGGTTTATTTTGCTAATGTTTCAAAATAGGCAACACAAGCAAACATACTTTTTTTTCCCGGTCCTACAAAACACTTAAAAGTCTTTATTTTTAGCCAGGAGGTGGTGGTACATGCCTTTAATCCCAGCACTCGGGAGGCAGAGTCTCTGTGAGTTCGCGGCCATCCTGATCTACAGAGCAAGTTCCAGGACAGGCTACAAAGCTACAAAGAAATCCTGTCTTGAAAAAAAGGAAAAAAGAAATGATATTTTTAATACATTTTTTTATGAGAAAGTTGCTCACTATGTAGCCCTGACTGTCTTGGAGCTTGCTTTCTAGATAGAGCAGGCTGGTCTTGAACTCCCAAAGATCCACCAGCTTCTGCTTCCCAAATTCTGGGATTAAAGGCCTATGCCACCATACCCAGAATCTTACACATATTTTTAATTAAAATACAATTACATCACCTTTTTCCTTGCTTTTCCACCCTTCAGACGCCCCCCCCCCATATACTCCGTTGTAATCCCTCCCATTCCCCCGCACTCTCAGAAACAAAAAGAACTTTCTGAATAACGCTCTTAAGCAGGCCAAGCAGTATTCCTCAAAAGATTTCAACTATGCCTTTGGAAGACATTTGTTTTCTTTTTTTTTCTTTTGTATGAACAAAGCATCATCTCCTTCAAACAGCACAATTTTATTATCGAATTTTGCTTTTCTTTTCATTCTTTGCTTAAATGTTTAGAGAAGAGACACTTAATTTTCAAGCCACAAAATGAACTTGCCTAAGTATGCTGTAAAGGGCATGGGTTCTGCCTGCGGTGGGAAGAAGAAAGTATTATGTGGAGTACAGTGTGCTCTGCTCTAAGCTATTACAATTGGTGTTTTCAGGTGGTACCCTGCACTGAGTGATTCTATTTCCATCCCCTGCCCCAGAGGCCATTTGCTACTACTTTCAAAGGTGTCTTCATTTTATTTCATGTGTTGGAGTGTTTTGCCTGTATGTATAGATAGGCATCACATGAGGGCCTGATGCCTAGGCAGGGAAGAGGGCATCACATGTCTTGAAGGTGGAGTTACTGAACGTTAACTTTGTGGGAGTGCTGAGACATCAAACCTGGTTCTCCACTAGGGCAAACAGTGATTCATCTGCTCAGCCCCTCAAAAATCACACAGGGCTGTTGAGACAGACAAAGGAACAGAACTAAGGACAAAATGCTGAGTTTTGAATACAAATCCCAAGGCAGAATGACTTCCTGTTTTATTTATTGGAAATGAATAACACAGTAAGAACCATGGGACACAGACTAAAAAATAATCTGCTTAGGCAATTTGACTCTTACCTTCTCTGAACTTATGTAGTAAAATTAAATGAAGACCACATGGGAATATGGGCATTTCAAAACCATATAAAGCAAAAAACAATTCCAAAAAGTTTATCATACACACCAGACAAATAAATGATACAACATTCATATAAAAGGAGATAACCCTAACACTGATGTGTGGAGACTTATTTTATTATCATCAGATCTTGTGGTACATGTATCATGAAATCAACAAGTGAGAAATTTTCAGCTCTGACTCCAGAACTGCAGTTCATGATGGCCCTACCTTCCTGCCATGGCTAACTAGAATTGACATTAGATGAGTTGACCACATGTGGACTACCCTTGGACCAAGTTTGTCTTGAAGAGATTTTTGTCTTGCAAAATTCCTTCAGGATAGGGTTCCTAAATGTCTTACCTAACTACCTCCAATGGCTCCTATTGCATTTATATGAGTGTACTGTTCAAGCTTTTATGAAAACTTCTTTGAATCCTGTAGTCTCTTTAATGGTTATTAATTTAATAATTCTTAGCAATTCTTTATCCTATTTGTCATTGTGTAACATAAAATGCATAAGATGAGTGTTAATATTAGTAAGACTTGAATAAAAGAACTTGCCATTTCCAATGGCCATCAGGAGTAATTGTTGATGTACAGTCAACTTACTGACATAACGTGTGAATTTATTATTAATCAATAATTCCTGAAATTGTGGAAATACATGCAAAGTTCTATGCCTTTGTCAATGTTTTTAACATAACATGTTCACAAAATACTAATAAACTTTAGTGTTGAACTGACTCATTTCAAAGAAAGACAACTCTTTTGTTCTCACTTTTTAAATTTTATTACTTTAAAAAAAATACCAATACAAATTCCCACTTCCTCCTCTCCCTCCACTCCTTCCACAACCCTTTTCCTGCCTCCCTTCTATCTTAAGAGAGTGCAAAACACCCTTGCTCAACCTGGATATAGTGGGGAGGGCCTTGGACTTTGCATGAGAGAAAACTCTTACAATAAATTAGTCTTATTTGCTTATTGAAGTCTCAATCCTGAATATATATGTCCCTAATATAAAAGCACCCACATATGTAAAAGAAACATTACTAAAACTCAAATCACACATCAAACCCCACACACTAATAGTAGGAGATTTCAACACTCCTCT